GAATAATGATGTGGAGCATCTTTTCATGTGTTTGTTGGCCATTTGTGTGTCATCTTCTGAGAAATGCCTGTTCGTGTCATTCACCCACTTTTTAATGGGGTTGTTTTTTTCTTGCTGATTTGATTGAATTCCTTGTGGATTCTGGGTGTCCTTTGTCAGATGGACAATTTGCAAGTATTTTCTCCTATTCTTTAGGTTGTCTGTTTACTCTGTTATTTCTTTTGCTGTGAAGAAGCTTTTTAGTTTAATTAAGTCCCATTTTTTTTTAATTTCCAGTTTTTAAATGAATCTCACGCAATTTAACTGTTTATGGGCTACTCCAGGTTCTTCCTGAAGCAGTTGTAGCTCTTCATGTCAATTCCACCAAGAAAGAACTCCCACCCATGGTATCTGCTCTCCGTTGTGGCTGAGTCTTTCCAACTGCAGTCTGTTTACTCTTTGGACAGCTGTGTCTCCTCCTTATCTGCTAACCTGAGGACAGTAAAAGTGCTTCTTGTGGGTCAGTATACTATTACAGGAGAAGAACTATGTTTAGAAGGTCGGTTACCAAATCCACAGGTTATGGGCGAAGGCTGAGCAGACAAAGAGGGGGAAGGAGCAGTCCTGCTGCCCCCCCCCGCCCCCCGCCCCGGCTGCCTGAGACCAGCCGAGAGCCAGAGCCCCTCACACAAGTGGGCACACAATGCCCGCTGCGTCGCCCGGGCCTCCTAGGAGGTATTTTAACACGCTCTTGCTCTTTGGAACAGCTCTCCTGGACTCTTATCTGTTTAAACCAGAGGTGTGATAAGCGGTAACCTGGATCTACCCTCTTTTATTTTTGTTTAAAATAAAAAATGGTGCCCCAGGAGATGAGAAAATGGGGTTGTTTCCTTTTTCCTCTGGCTCAGCCTGGAGAAAGAGGGTGGGATCCTTGCAGCTCACACTGGGGAAGGGCTTTCGTTGGCCGCCTGCTCGCCTCCGGGGCCCTGACCACTGGACCGCCCTCCCCCGGCCCTGCAGCAGACCGCCGGCTCTGGCTCCGCCTTGGGTGGCCTCTGCCAGCACGCAGCCATGGGGCTGGCTAGACGTGGGGGCAGAGGGCAACCTGTGCACTTCCCCTCGCCGCACCATCAGGCAGCGACTGTCCTGCAGCTCCGGCCTCAGTGTTGTGTAAGTGCGGGGTTCCCTGGCACTCGGGGATGCCTGGTACCCACAGAGGAGGAGGCTGAGACGCCCTGGCCGAACCTGGCGGGGCAGCCGGGCGGGTGCACAGGGCGAGGCTCCCGCACTCCATGGGGTCCAAGTCCCATTTCTTTATTTTTGTTTTTGTTGCATTTGCCTTTGGGGTCTAAGCCATGAATTCTCTGCCTAGGTGAACATTTTTACTTCATAGTAGTTATCCTAAAGCTCTTGTCTGCTAATTCCGTTGTCTCTGTCCTTTCCAAGTCTGTTTCTGTTGACTGATTTTTCTCCTGGCTTGGGGGGACGGTGTCACATTTTCCTGCTGCTTTGCGTGTCTGGAGGGTTGTTTTTGGAAGCTGGGTGTTCCAGGTGGGTCTCTGCCTGGTAGCCTGCATCGGGCGAGCATCGCTGAGAGGGTGCTGGTTTCTTTTCATGGTTGGATGTGTGCTGGGCGGGGTGTCACCCTCCTGCGTTTGTGATGTTACAAGTGAGTTGCTCTGTTGACAAGAAGGGCCTAGTCTCCTGCTGGAGGATGGAGACACGGTGCTAGCCCGTGTGGCCAGGAGCATGGCCATGACGACAGCCGCGTCCCCATGGGGACAGGCACTTGAGGTCAGCCCTCCCCAAGTCTTGGAGAAAGGCTGGACTGTTAGGCCCCTCAGCCCTTCTCCTCTCGCTGGTACATAACGTTTCATTCTCCATACTCTTGGGGAATGAGTGACTTGGCAAGAAAGGAGTCTTCCCGATAACCCGCTTGGCAGTCAGCTACCGGAACGTGGTCAGCTGGTTAACTGGACGGCTGAGCCCACAGGGAGCATGTGGCCACGGGGAGGGCGGCAGAGCCAGCACCTTCAGGGGCTGTCACCATCAGTACCCGCACTGCTGGGCTGCCCTGGTGCATTTCATGGTCACCCTCACTGGTTCCCGTCCCTCATCACCCTAACCAGCCTTGCTGTCATCGCCATTGTCACAGCACCCATCCCTGGCTCCCTACTGCACACACAGTCCTCGTGTGGACGGCAGACACAGTGCTACAGTGAGCCCCAGGCTGACCCCTCTGCGGAGGTGTAGGCTGAGAGAGGCAAGCCCCGCCTGCCTGAATTCCTTACACCTGCTGTCCCTCCCCGGGGGACACACTTCCTTCCTGGCCTGGATCAAGAGCTCCCTGGGCCAGTGAGGACTGATGCCGTGGTGTCGCAGAGGGCTGCGCACGTGGCTGTGCCTCAGTGTTCCCTTTGCCCCGTGTGGCTCTTGTGTCTCCTGCTGATTCCCTTTTCACCCATGTCCCGTCACTCGTGCATTAAACATGCTTCAGGAGCTGAGCACGGTAGTGTGTGCCTGCAATCCCAGCCACCCGGCAGGCTGAAGTGGGAAGATGGCTTGAGCCCAGGATTTTGAGACCAGTCTGGGCAATGTAGTGAGACCCCATCTCTAATCTGAGGGGAAAAAAAGGTGAACAGATGGGACTGTTCCCCCCACCTGTTAAGAACTCTCTGTGTGTGTTCAGAGGATGCTGCTTGAAAGCGCCTGGTTGCTGCAGACCCCTGTGAGCCCGAGGGCGACTCGCAGCCTTACAGTGGTGCAGCGGACATCCTGTGAGGCGCGTCCCTCTTCTGTGTGCAGTCAGTGAGTGTGATATTCCACCCCCGGGCATCTGCAGCCACTTCCCAATCCCCAGGTGCACGCAGAGCTGCTTTCTTTCTCTTGGGTTGTGTCTTTTCTGAGGCTTACGTAAATGGAATCACACGCTCTACGGCGCTATGTGCTGGGCTCACTCAGCCGGGGCTTCGCGGTTCTTCCGGGTTGTCTGTCAGCGCGTTCCTTTCTGTTGCTGGGTAGCATTTTGTCGTGTGGTTCTCCGTCCGCTAGTTGACGGACATTTGGGATGTAGCCGCCTTTCGGATACTCTGTATGATTCTGCTGTGAACAGTTAGGTGTAAGTTTTTGTACAGAAGCAGTTTTTGCTTCTCTTGGGTACGTACCCAGGAGTGGAATTGCTGGGTGTGTGCAACCCTTCGTTTAACCCTTTGAAAAGCTGCCAGACGGTTTCTGCAGCAGCTGTGCCTTGCGCTTTCCCACCAGCAACAGTGGACGCTTCCGGGTCCTCCGTGCTCGCCAGCGCTTGCTGTCGTCAGCCCCTTTGTTTCAGCCGCCCCCGTAGGTGCGGTGGTACCACGCTGCGGTTGCCGCGCGCAGCTCCCTGATGAGTAACGGCACCCACTGTCTTTCACGCCTTTGTTAGCCTCCACAGCTCTCTTTTTTGTGTTCGTCCTGAGCCAAATTCCAAGCAAAGGTCACTTAAATGCTGCATCCCTAAGGACACAGCCAGGCCAGGGTCCCCCACAGTGCCACACTTCCTATTCTCCGAGTCGCAGCACAGACAGGTGGTCAGGTCGTGGGGTTTGGGATGGGCTCAGCCCTTCTGGAGCCGCTTTGGAGGGACTGTCACCCTTGTCCCAACACACAGTGGCCCTCGTGCAGCAGCAGCTGGTTCGCAGTCTCGGAGCAGGATGAGGGGGTGGGACTGTGTGCGTCCTGTGCCAGGGATGGTGGGAACGTTTCCCATGAGTCGTGTTCGCTGTGGAGTGGACCTCTGCCTGCCTGGTGGTGAAGGCTCGCGTGCTTTGGAAGCATGGGGTGGTTTCTGGGGCATCAGGTCCCACGCCGTGTTAGTGTCCTGGGACGTTTCCCCTCAGATCTGCTCCAGACAGTGGAGTCCTTGATGTGTTCTGGCAAAGGAGGGGGCTGCTGGAAAACCAAGGTGGGCTCCAGCGCCTCCCACCCCAGGCGCCACGCGTGTGCAGTGTGTAGCTGTGTGGTCCGAGCTGGCTGAGCGGACCCAGGGGTCAGGGCTGCTATAGAGCGGGTGCCAAGAGGACAGCCACCCCTGAGTCCCAGACTGCCTGACCCCGCGCCAAGCAGTTCCCCAGGGCAGATGCTCGTCTGACGTGGGGTGGGTGTTGTCTCTGCTCCTGCCCTACCCGTGACGCTGGCTCGAGTCTCCCCACATGTGCGGAGCGGCTCCACCCACCCTGGGTTTGTGGGGGTGGACACGTGGCCACTGCCGATGCAAGCGGCACTCAGCTCTCCTGGGAGAGCTTCTCCTCTCGATAGGCAGGCCGGAAGCCCAGACCCGAGTGGTCGAGACGAGAGCCAGGGTGTCCTCTCAGCAGGAGAACTCAGTGATGAACCTCAGTGGGGCGTCCAGGACAAGTGATGCAGGGGTGGATTTGGGGGCTGAGGGTCCCAGTGACCACCCAGGACCATGCTGTGGGTAGTGTCTGGGACACTGGAGGTGTGTGCTTGGGGTTCAAGGTGAGAGCGGAAGGAAGAAGGTGCACTCCTCCTCCTGGCTCTGGGTCTTTTCCAAGATGCTGCTAGAAGGCTGACCTCCGAATAGCTGAAGCATCAGTATTTATTTTGACCTCTTTTGTATATTTTTTCTTTTCTTTTCTTTCTTTTTTTTTTTTTTAAAGAGATGGGACCTTGCTTTGTTGTACCGGCTGGAGTGCAGTGCACTATCATTAGCTCACGGCAGCCTCGAACTCCCGGCACAGCTTCCTGAGTAGCTGGGACTACAGGCACATGCCCCCACCCCCGGCTAATGTTTTTTCTATTTTTAGTAGAGGCGGGATCTCACTGTGTTGCCAGGCTGGTCTCAAACTCCTGGCCTCAAGTGATCCTCCTGCCTTGGCCTCCGAGAGTGCTGGGATTACAGGCGTGAGCCACCGTGCCCGGCCTGAAAACACTCTTTATCCTGCTCCTTATATAACTGGGAAGTGAGTCTTTGGATTTCTAGGTATCTTTATTGACGTTTTTCCTTTTTATTTTTTCTGTAGGATTCTGTTTCACTAAGACCGTCAATCCGATTTCAAGGAAGCCAAGGGGTGAGTCTTTTTTGTCTCAGTCGTATTCGGAATCATGGAACTGGTGCAGTCGCAGGCCTGTGCTCGCTCGCTGGGCACAGCAGCAGGCTAGCAACGGCGTTTCAGCCCCTCTGTCTCCGCGTAAGGCTGGGCTCCGGGGTTTGCACGGCTGACCCTGTGGCTGGAGGAGCACCAAGCTGGGTCCCTGGAGCCCACAACAGGCCACCTGGCTCGCAGGCTCCCAGTCTTTTAGTGGGGGCCAGGGCCATGGCTGTTTGTCAGGATTTGGGCTGGGGGAGGGGAGTTCATAGAAACTCAGCACTCTCATTTTTTTTTTAATGTGTTTCTTTCTAAATGACCATCTTATTGAAAAATTAGAGAATGAAAGAAAGAGCAAGTTGCCCACCACCCGTGCCCCCAGGTCTTAGGACCTCCTGTTCCCCCCACTTGCCAACACACCGTGGAGCAATTTGGTTTTTTCTTCTAGTCTTCTTTACAAGTCTTTTTAAAAAAATTGTTTATTTATTTGTTTGTTTTTAGAGACAGGGTCTGGCTCTGTCGCCCAGGCTGGAGTGCAGGGGTGTTGTCAGAACTCACTGCAGCCTTGAACTCCTAGGACTAAAGGAATCCTCCTGCCTCAGCCTCCCAAGTAGCTGCAACTACAGATGTGCACCACCGTGCCTGGCTCATTTTTTAAAAAAATTTTTTGGTAGAGATGGGGTCTTGCTGTATTGCCCAGCCTGGTCTCAAACTCTTGGCCTCAAGCAATTGTCCCTCCCAAAGTGCTGGGGTTACTTGAGCCACCGTGCCCGGCCATTTTTGTTTTACAAGTTTCCACGTTGTATCCAAGTCAGTTGCTACCTGAAGTCCTGAGGGCTCCTCACAGCCGGCAGGGTATGGATGTGGTGCTCTGTGGGCTTCCAGGTGCGTCTCGGTGCTGCAGAGAGACGGAGCCTCTAGGAGATGGGTATCTGTGTATACAGATGTGGAGAGATTCGTCACAAAGAAGGGGCTCAGGCAATTGTGGGCCGCAGTCCCTAGGCAGAGTTTCTCCCTCCTCATGGAAATCTCGGTTTCCCTCCTAAGACCTTCAGCTGATTGAACAAGGCCACCCAGACCATTGAGGGTCACCTCCTTACTTACTCGCATCAGCTGGTTGTAGATGGCGACCACATCCACAGGACAGCTCCAGGGTGCACCTAGACCGGGTGTCGTGGAGTAATGAGTCCCCAGACCCTGCAGCTCCATCAGCCCACCTGGCTCCTGTGGTCATCCTCTGCTGTGTCCTTCTTACGATCTCCGGGGATGGGCTTGCTGCCACAGCAGCGCCACAGTGCCCTCTGGTGCCCCTCAGTGGCCACTCTGTGCCTTCTGCAGCCACCTGGCCCTGACCTGAGCAGCCCCCAACTTAAGCAGCGGGAAAGTCCCCCCATTCCCCTCGCCCTGTATGCCTGTCCACAGATGCTCTCCAGCCTGGTCATGGCAAAAGCGCATAGCACGTCACCCTTGTATGCCATGTGCCATGACTTGGAGACTGCATGTGTCACGGCAGCCTGTCCAGACTCATGTCCACCACACGTACAGCATTGGCCCATGTCACTGACAAGAAGGCACCTAACGAGAGAGAGCTGGGGCCCTGGGCACGCCGTGAGCTGGGGACGGGAACCCCGACTCAGCGACGTGGGGTGAAGCAGCTGCTGCAGTTTAGTTAGCAGGGCGTTTGCTCTGGGGCTTCAGTCCCGGGCCGTGCTGCCAGCAGGCCGCCACCAGGCCCTGAGAGGGGCTCTCTGGCCAGAGACATCCCATGGTCTGCCACGGAACGTTCCTTGGAGGTGTGTCATTCACCTCGTCAGCCAGCATCTTCCTGCCTTCTGGTCATCATCCTGGGTCTCGGGTCTGGAGGGACAAACGTTTGGTTGTCACCAGGTGTGTGCGCTATGCAGCATTCAAGGCCCTGTGTAGGATGAAGGGACCCATTCCCCACAGGCCATGACAGACCTGATCTATAGGTGATCTGCAGGCTCCTTGGCTCTGGGACTATGGCTGGATTTTCTCTCTCTGTCCACTGGCCTCCATGTACACCTCTAGGTTACACTCGATGTCAGGACAACCAGCGTCCTTGTGCCTCAGAGCGAGCTCAGCCCCTCCTGTGTGCGTCCTCTCCATGTGAAAGCTCTGGCCAGTGTAGGGTCTTGGCACCATGCACTCCTGGGGTGGGCGTTGGATGTCTGCCCAGCCACCTCCCTCCCTCCCTGCCTCCCTCCCTGGAGTTGTGCTGTGCAGCCGCCAGCCCCGTGCGGGCAGATTTTTTTGCAGTAACTTTGTGGCATTTCCAGGTTCCCCAGGAGACCTGGGCACCCGTACCGGCCTTAGAGCCGCCTGCAGTCTGTTTCATTTGCGGCCCTGCGCTGTCTGGGTGGGAGTGGCCTGTCAGTGTTCAACCCTAGAGAGGCCGGCAGCCGCCGAAGGGGAAAAGAAACCCCCACCTGGCCGGCCCCACTCCCGGAACTCTTCAGCGAAGTGCCAGTTACTAAAAAAGAAAAAGTAGCAGTTGGTGTCCAGGGCTACTCCAGGTGTCAGGACTTCCGTGCCCCAGTTTCGAGAATGAGATTTGGCTGGGCTTGTCAGCGGCCAGTGTCTGTGAGTCTGGGATTGGATTTTGTGGGACTAGTTAGTGATGTGGACAAAGATTTAGCCACAAGAGGTGCTTGTTGCTGTGTTGTCTGTAACCAGGACAGTTTGGAAACAATCTAAAAAATGTGTAAATTGGGGGTTTTCCAGAGTCTGGAGCCATCTGTGTCGGGGACCCCGGGTGGGCATGGCACGCGGCTCTTCTGAAAGGCCACAGCCCGGGCGAGTGGTTCCCGGAAGGGAAGTAGGTGCTCGGCACCTGGGTGTGGGGCCGAGGCCTCCCGCTGGGCACAGGGCCGCTTCCCTCCTGCTCTCTCTGAAGAAGAACGTGTCTTACTCCGAGAGTTCGCCAGGATAAAAACAACGAAGAAAACAATGTTACCTGAAAACTCTTCTGGCCGGAGCGACCCTGGCCAGGCGGTGTTTGGGTTCCTGTGCGCGTTGTGTGGGCCGTGGCCGGGGTCACCCGCTGCTGTCCTGGTTTAACTGTGCAGGATGTTGCGGGCCTTTCCCTCATCACGCTGCAGCCCTCCCCTTAATTTGCCTCTTCAAAACCCTGCAGCTCCTCTCCCCCCAAACTGCAGAAGAGGCCTGGAAGGTCCCAGGGAGGGCAGCAGGCTCCAATTTGGGGCAGATTCCAAAGGGAAGAGGTGACGGGGCTCTGGCAGGGTGCCCACCTGCTGCGGAACCACTGCCCCCTGGTGGCCGTGGGTCAGGTTGGAGGGAAGGACAGGCCTTGGCCCCTTTGGAACCACCCCGATGATCCTGTGTCCTGCTCCAGGCTCTGTCCGCGTGTCTGTCTGTGAACTCGGACGTGTGCTCAAGTTTATGGCGACTCCCCCCAGGCTCCCTCCAGTAACCTGGAGCCAGCGCCGACATCTGGCACACCCGAACGAGAGTGCGCCCACCACCGGGGCCCTAGCGCAGCTCCCAGGGGGCAGCTGAGACCTCGTCCAGGAGGCCAAGTGGGGGCCGCGAGTCAGGCGAGCTCTTGGCTGGCATGGAGAATGTGCCCACATTGCCGGGCTGCTCTTCCCCCGCTGCCCTGCGGGGCCCAGGCCCCGGCACTGTGGCAGAGCAGCCCGTTTGTCAGAGGCTCCCCCGCGTGGGCAGCGCCTCTGCGCCAGAGAGGGCGGAGGCTGTGAGACCTGCCGTGCCCAACCCCAGGTGAACCTTTTCCTAACAGTCTCCCCAGTCTCCCCTGTCCACCCCCCATCCTGAAGGACATGGGCCGCAGTGCCCTGTGTGTGTCTCCCCTTGTCGCCAGCGGCACAATGCCCTCCCGAGCATCAGCCTCGAAGCCTGGCTCACCCATTGTCATGCAGCCCCCACCCTCCCTTGGTAGCTACTCAAGCCTGGCCTGCTCTCTGCACTGTGCCCCCCGCCACCCCTTCCAGGATGGCGTTAGGGGCAGACACGCAGGGCGCAGCGAAGCTGCTCTGGTCACTTACCCAGAGAGCATGGTGTCTGGTGGCCGGGCAGGCTCGCGTGGGGCCCTCGTGGCACTGACTATGTGCGCGACTGCCCTGCCTGCTGTGGGACCTTCCCGTGGGGGCCGGCCTTGCTGCGTCGGGCTCGCGTCGTGTGCCGGCCTGGTCCCGTGGCCCACTCTCTGCCCAGCGGTGCGCGCTCTCCTGGAGCCAGGCGGGATCCTGCCTGCCCACCTGCCGGGCGGGGTCTGCATTTGCCGGGGACAGGGCCACAAGCATGTGTGGGGGCAGAGCCACGAGCAACTTGGACTCAGGCCAGGGGCGCCTCGGTCTGCCCTAGCCGGAGCCAGGACTGGGGTACGGCGGGTGGTGCGGGCGTTGGGAAGGGAGAACCCCCCACACCAGGGCTCAGGCTCCGTCAAGGCTCCCTTGATTTCTCTCAGCACAGTGGTCCCCGGGCTTCCCTCGCAGCTACATTCTGGGTCACCACGTCACATGTACATCGGCCCCCTTGGAGCCTCTGAGTGTCCGGCAGAGGCTGCAGGGCGTGTGCGCGTGTTCCTGTGCCCCAGGGTGAGTCATCGGAGGCAGCTGGGTGTGACTTTTCAGACGCCGAGTGTAAGCCTGTCCAGCCTTCTCTGCCCTAATAAAACTACGTTTGTGTTCAGGTCAGGACTGGCCTGGGGGGCCCGAGATGGGCCTTGCTCTCGCCTCCGCCAGCACATGTCTGTCTGGGTGGGCCCTGACCCCCCAGCTTGTAACTCTGTATCAGCAGGACAGGGATGGAGGCTCCTGTCCCGCAGGGAGGTGTCTGAGGCCGAGAGGGGGTACTGGGCAGACGCCAGTGGATGGGACACCTTCCTCCTGGAGTAGCGCTGAGCGTGCGAGGGTGGGGACAGGAGGATCATCAGCCCAGGAGGACTGCTGCAGAGACTGCCTGGTGCCCCCGGGGTGGCCATGCCTGGGAGTGGGGACGGGTGCTGGACTCTGTGGGTCCACTGGCACGGGGGGCTGACGGTAGGCCAGGTGTGTCCACGGCTTCCCTTGTGGGTCCAAACACTGCCCTGAGGGCCAGGTCCCAGCTGCAGCTACATAGTGGGGCCAGGGGAACAGTGTTCCTCCACGTTCCTGGCGGCTCAGGGGCTCTGTCCTCAGTCTCACGCACGGGGTGTGGACAGGTGAAACCTCCTGTGGGTGCATGTGGCAGCTGGGCAGGGCGTCGGGCAGGGGATTCACCCTTGGGCCCCCTGTTCTGTCCTGTGCTGATGAAGTATCTGGGTGACCAAAGAGGTTGGAGGAAGAGACGGGGCTCAGGGTTGCCGAGGGGATGCGGCAGCCCAGGGACGAGGTCTGATGCCTCCCTACGTGTTCAGGTCCTCACAGACCACTTGAGCCCTTTGCGTGTCTGCCTAGCTACGAGCAGCTCGTGCGTTCAAGCCCAGGGACTTGTTTAGGAAGGGTCACCCCTGCTGACAGAGGGTGGGCCCGGAATGCGGTGTCCTCTGATGCGACGCTGTCTTGCCCTGGGCCCTGCATTTGGCTAGGACAGCACAGTCTGTCCGTCTGCCTGCCCCAGGCTGTCCGTCCTTCTGGGCAGGGCTACAGGCATGCTGTCCAAAGTCAGGTTTATGTAAACTGTGACATACATGTTCTGTGTCTCATGTGACCCGTGATGCCGCCAGCGCTGTTGATCTGTGAGCCCCACAGGCTGCAGGACGGTGAATCGACACACAGGGAGTCCGTGGCCAGCGTAGGTGGCTGCCGAGAAACTGTCACCAAGCAGGGGTGCCAGAGTTGTGGGGTAGCCGACACCCCTCTTGTCAAATCTCACCTTGGGGGGTATCTTGGGCCAAATCTTGGGAAACTGAGTCATGGTCCAGACAAACCTCTTTCCCAGGGTCACACTATCAGGGTGGGCTCCCTGCCTCCAGGCAGGTGCTAAGCACTGTGTTGTCCTCAGACTGCAGTGCCATTGCTGCTGAGAAACCAGACACAGCCCCCCCCAGCACACACACATGGGGGACATTGGCCTCCGATGCCGTCACTGTAAGGAGAGCAGAGGTGTGTTTAGAGGGAATCGCTGGCATATTCCCATTGTGAGGGTTGTGCTGCGGGGGGTGTCGGAGAGATGAGCCTGGGTGGAGCCCCTGGCCAGTCTTGTGGTCCCTTCCATGCCAGGGACTCCTGGTGACACCTCCTTCCCCCCACGCAGCACATCTCCATCCCCCGGCCCGACTGCCCCGCAGAGGCGCGGACCTACTCCTTCTACCTCTCCAGCATCGGCCGCGACAGCCCACAGGGCAGCTTCGACTGCATCCAGCAGTACGTCTCCAGGTGAGGCCGCCCCGGCCCGGGTCCAGACGTGCCGTCGAAATCTCCTCGCCTGAGTCGATGCTGACTGAGCCCCATTTCCGTGGGGGTGGGGGCTCGGCCCCTCAACAGTCTCCCCACATCGTCCCGGGCGCTGATCCCGGCCCCTTGCCGCTTGCCTTGCAGCTGTGGGGACGTCCTCCTGGACTGCCTAGGCAGCATCCAGGACAAGATCACAGTGTGTGCCACCGATGACTCCTACCAGAAGGCGCGGCAGAGCATGGCCCAAGCAGAGGAGGAGACGCGGAGCCGCAGCGCCATCGTCATCAAGGCTGGAGGCCGCTACCTGGGTGAGCGGTGGGGGCTCAGGGCCAGCTTTGGGGGGAGGACGTGGTTCGGGGCCTGTCCAGCCAGGGGCCCTTGCTGTGCCTGCAGTGGAAGCAATGGGTCAGCCAAGGAATCGGCCCGAGCAGGATGTACCCGAGCCGGCGTCCAGGCCGGGAGGGAAGGTCTGGGCACGGTGGCCCCGAGGCTGTGGCAGCTGCTGTCTTGTGAGGCCTGAGATGGACACAGGGGACGGAGAACCCTGGGAGCCCCGAGTCGGCAGGCCCCTGTCCCAGGCTGTGGCCTCGGGGACCTTTACCTGTCAGGGAGGCACACAGGGTCCTCCATCAGGGCTGCTGTTAGGGCACGGTCCCGTCTACCTGTCTTCTAGCTCCTCCCTGAGGTCACCATGGGCTGTGGCAACATGCAAACAGCGGGGGGGTGAGCTCCGCAGTACCCTGCTGCTAATGTGACCCCTGCACTGCCAGGAAGGCTCTGGCGGCTCAGCGTCAGCTTGGGGACAATTTCAGCGAAGCTGAGAAAGCACCACGCACTAAAAGCAGGAAGGAAAGTATCATTTACGTGGAGAGCTCCGTCATCCCGCTGCGGCGCTCCTGCCTCGCAGACCAGACGGAGCTGAAGAGTCGCTGGCGTGCGCCGCCCGCGGGGAAGGGCGCCAGGCTTCAGAGAGGAGTGAAAACGCTCAGAGAAGACAGGAAACTTGATGGCTTTTTGGGTTTTTTCTTTTTTAAGAAAAGGCAGGATTTTAGTTTCCCCTCTCCCCACCCCAAAGAGCACGTGATTTCTCCTTGCTCCGCAGTGGGCTTGGCTCTGAACGAACCCCCGATGCCAGCGCAGGAGCTGGGCTTCTGCTTGGCGCTGGGGCCGGGTGGGCATGCTACACGGCCCGGGCCGTCTGGAGCGCTGGGGCGCCGAGCTGTGAGCCCCGCACATAGGGCCGCTGCAGGGAGGGCAGCCCGGAGGCTCCCAGGCCTCCAGAATGCTGCTCCTGCTCACTGCCAATTGGGAGTGGCCACGCGGCATCCGTGCACGTGTCAATAAGGCTGTGGGTCCTGTGGCGAAAATTTGTCTCGTCACACCACTGTGGGTACAGTAAGGGTTGTTGGAACAGTTTGTATGCTGGTGGAGCCCTCTCTAAGGATGTCATTAGTGTACACATCCCTGCTGTCTCAGAGCACCCCGAGATCAGGCCCGTCCCCCTCCTGGGACTCCGTGTTGGTGGGTCAGCCTGGTACCCTGGGGATGAAGCCTGTCTCCCCTGGCAGGACCCCCCTGAACAGACCCCAGAGGCGTGAGTGGCTGACCCTGGAGATTGTAAAAGCACGTCTTTCTGTGGTAATTGGACACATCAGATTTTTAGGAATGAGGTGGCTCACGCCTGTAATCCTAGCGCTCTGCAAGGCTGAGGTGGGAGGATCACTTGAGTTCAAGACCAGCCTGAGCAAGAGTGAGACCCTGTCTCTACTAAAAATAGAAAAGTTAGCTGGGCATGATGGTGCATGCCTGTAGTCCCAGCTACTCAGGAGGCTGAGGCAGGAGGATCATTTGAGCCCAGAAATTGGAGGTTGCAGTGAGCTGTGATGATGCCACTGCACTCTACCTGGGGTGACAGAGCAAGACTCTGTCACACACTGACACACACACACAAAAGTCCAATGTTGTGAAGATTTTTGCTGGAAGGATGCGAGACATGCTACTGAGCTAGCTCAGGCGTGCACCTCCCCGAGGGTGCCAGGGCGTGTTTGGGACAGGACAGAGGTGTGGCATGCTGGACCCTGTCTGTGTGTGTGTCTACACTGGGGACACAGGGGCAGCCCACAGGGGAGATGCTCACATCCCAGGGTCTCCAGAGCAGCTGCCAGAAGTGGCCCTGACACCTTTATTCACTGCTTTAAAAAGACCCAGAAAACAAAAACAGCTCCACGGGGCCTGCATAAGACCGAAGTGCCTGCCTCCTGCGGTTCTGGGACCGTCGATTTAACATCAGAAGGTTTATAGATGCCCCCAGCTCCCTCAACCCGCTTGAATAGTTGGTGTGTTTGGTACCTAGAATTTCGGTCCCCAGTGGATGACGTCAGTTAAGTCTCTAAAACACTATTCTACCGCTTGCACTTCCTGCTTCTGAGGCTGGGGGCCCTGCAGGTGCCGGGTCTGGGCAGCAGGTGGCACTGTCGGCCACCCAGGGTCCCCACTGAGCAGACAGGGCTGGACTTTGCCTTGGCCAGCAGCGCTCTCTAGTCTGAAACCTTCAGGCGCCAGCCGTGGGGCACAGCGGCTGCCCCCTCTGTTCCTTAACACTCGGGCTCTTTTTGCAGGCAAGAAGGTTCAGTTTCGGAAACCAGCCCCTGGAGCGACAGATGCTGTGCCCTCCCGGAAGCGGGCGACCCCCATGAACCTGGCGAGTGCCATCAGGAAGAGTGGCATCGGCGCGAGCGGGGGCGGTGGGGTGTCCCAGAGGCCCTTCCGTGACCGGGTGCTGCACCTCCTGGCGCTGAGGCCCTACCGCAAGGCCGAGCTGCTGCTGCGGCTGCAGAAGGATGGCCTGGCGCAGGCGGACAAAGAGGCGCTGGACGGCCTCCTCCAGCAGGTGCGTGCCGTCCGGGGGCGGGGGCGCGTCCAGCCCACCTGACTGCAAGTTTACAAGCGGCGTCCTTAGGTGGTCCCTCGCGAGCAGGGTGGGCCGGAGCGTTGAGGCTGTGACTCTGGCCAGCAGGGAAGAGCCCCTCCTGAGGCCCCTTCTGTGTTCACAGCCTGCCTCAGAGTGGGAGCCTCCTGGGTTAGAACCCACTCGGGGGGCCGTGGACATGTCTCTGGGCGTGGTACCTGCTCTGCGGGGCCCATGCCCTTTTCTCCACCGTCTGCCACCAAGTGGGCAGTGGGGCCCAGCACGCCGGATGCAAGGCTGCGGCTGCAGGCAATTTATAGACTCGAGGTCTGGGCGGGGAACCCACAGGTGCGGGTCAGAGCTGGGCAGGCAGGCGAGCCAGGCTGGGAATCGAGGCAAGGGCTTCACGTATCGGACCTTCAGGCTTCTGTCTGTGATGGGTGTGACGCCACTGCCTCTCTCAGGGTCCAGGGTAGGCCCGCCGTCGAGAACCACCCTGGGCGTTACAGCAGGTACAGTGGCCCTGGGTGCCTCCTGCCACCCCTCACCCACAGAGATGCCCAGGACCCCTAGGAAGGCAAGTGGCTGGTGCTGGCTTTGAGGCATCAGGGCTGTCTAGATGCGGCCTCAGAGTGAATTGGGCATGGGCCACCTCAGATCGCTGCTGCGGTCGAGAAGGAGGCGTGGCTGTGCCCCTTGTCTGCCCAGGTGGCAGCAGGATATTAGGGGTCAAATCCTCCAGGTCGCCCCGCCCCACTTCCTGCCTCAGACACCCTGGGAACACAGACGGCACCTCCTGTCGTGGACACGGCATCTCCACGCCGTGAGGTGTGTGGCAGCCTGCAGCTGTGCCTAAGGCGCATCCACACGTCACTGCGCTTATCGTGAGGCTTCTCGACTCCGCTGCAGCCCGAGCCTGGTCCGCGTGGACCTTGCAGCATGTTCCTTGGGAGGACGTTGGCTCGGCTCTCGTCCCTCCTCCTGCTCCCAAGGCAGGGCTGGCACACTGTTGGCGGGAGTTCCTGAGGGGAGCTTGATGGAATCGTCAGATGTGGGACCCATGCTGGCCTGGCCAGGAAGCCAGTCCCTTTCCCAGGACAAGAGAGAGTCCATGCCAGACCCTAGCCTCTCCAGGTGACTTTGGTTTGGCTGCCTCCTGAGGGACGGGCCCGGCCAGTGTCTGCAGGCAGAGTGTCCCTTCCCGTGACCACCTTGATTTCTCCCGCATGGCTCGTCTGCCTTGTGCTTCTGTGTTTGCTACACAGCTGGTTCTTCCCAGCGATTCGGTGATGGCAGGGCTGGCGGCAGGACCCCGTTAGCTTGCAGAAGAGGAAGATCTTGAGCATGTGCCTCACCCAGGCTGGTCGTTTCCAGCCTCCCCAGGCCACCAGAGACTCCGAGGAGCAGCAGCGATGAAACCGTACTCTTCCATGCGAGGGCTCTTCCTCCTCTGGAAACACGCAAAGCAAAGATGGCCATCTGTGGGGCTGGCTGGGCCCCAGGGAAACCCACAGGCATTCCTTTTGGCCGGGGGGACGGTGTCGACGGGTGGGTGGTGTTTAGCAAAAGCTATCAGGAGCCATAAAAACGTTCAGCCTTTGACCTGATAATCCTACTTCTGGGAAGCCTGCCGAAGGAAGCCATCGCCAGCGTGGAAAACCTGCGCACAGTGACATCTGTTTATGCTACAGAGAAACTGGCAATGGTGGCGATGTCCAACAGTGGAGACTCATCACCGGGTGGAATATTACTCAACTGTTAAAAAATGCTCCCTGTGGAAATGGCTGTGACACGGAGTCCTCGTCAGATGTAGCGGAAAACAGCAGCTGCCTTGCCGGCAGCGTGACGGTGCCACACACGTGGGGGGCGTGCTGGTGACCAGGGCGCCAGGAGGCTGGCACACAGGCACCAGCTATGGCAGTGGCCTGGGGCTCCGTCAAGCCCTTCTAAGGCACACGCTCTGAGCCCGTCTGGGCCATGAGTCCGGGAGGCAGGCCCCACTGTGGCTGACTGGCGAGAGCGGGAGGGTGGCTCGGGCCTGGCCCCTGGAGGTGCCCCTTACATGGCACCTCCAGCCATGGCCAACTCTGCTGTGGGAGCTGCCATCAGAAGGGGCGAGCCATGGGGTCTTGGGACTGGAGGTGGCAGTCCTCCCTGTTTGGGAAGCAGCCTTGCCCCTAGCACCTGTGGGATGATCGAGTCTGGACCTCAAGCTGTGACTCGTGCGTCTGTACCCTGAGGGTTGCATGCTGGGGAGCTGAGGGTGGGCAGTAGTAGGCAGTCTTCCCTCCCCTCCTGTCTCGGTCTGTCTGCCCACCTCCCTCCGGGTCTCTGCACCGCCCCCACGCCCTTCAATCAGATGTTTCTGGTAGCCTCTGGGCCTCGGGCTTCCCGCAAGGTGACGGCTGGCTCTGTCTTGCAGGTGGCCAACGTGAGTACCAAGGATGGCACATGCACCCTGAGGGACTGCATGTACAAGGACGTGCAGAAGGACTGGCCCGGCTACTCTGAGGGGGACCAGCAGCTGCTGAAGCGCGTGCTTGTCCGGTAATGCCGCCTCTTGTCCCCTGCTGTGTCCCTAATCCCCGAGCATGGGCCAGAGCTCGTCTCAAGGATGCTGGGGTAGTCTTGAGTGACCCCAAAGGTGCAGGGCCCGAGAGCAGGATGGAAGGGTCCGAGGAGGCCTCTCCGTCTGTCCTCCCCACTGCCGGTGGCACCCCGTGGCTTCCCGTGCAGGGGGAATGGCCAGCCCCCTCGGAGTCGGGCGGGGGGCGTGAGTCACCAGCCCCAACCCCAGAATCCTCGGAAGAGAGGCCTCAGTCCACCCAGGCTATCCTCGGCTGTCGCCACCTTCCTGCCAAGCTTCCCCCAGACCTGGGCGTCCCCGGAAGCTTCTGCTGAAGTCCACTTTTTAGAACTCTTGAGAACACAGAGTGCAGAAAAACAAGGCAAAAGGCAAAACAAAACTCCCTGCAGACGTGACTAAGCAGCGTTGATTAAACGCATCCCCTCTCAGACTGGTTGGAACCGAGGTCAGGGTGGCGCGGGGCTCTGGGGGCAGTGGTCAAGGACGCAGGTGGCTGGCGATTTCCTTCCCGGTGGCTGCGTGCTTGGGAGCCGCGGGCTGTGGGGCAGACCGTTCAGAGCAGGCCATACGCTAATTAGTCCTTAAGTGATTTCTCAGGGACTTGGAGCTGTTTGTGAGATTTGTTTTTTTTGAAGTTCAGCTGTCTAAAGCAGCAATTGCACGTGGAGAGCAGAGCGGAGCTGGCGTCACACCCCGCGCTTGGGCGGTGTCCGCCTGCCCTGGGCCTGCTGGTCAGGGGCCCTTGGGCCACGCTCTGGCCGGCTGGAGCCCGGCTTGTCTGGCAGTCCTGGGTTCCCAGGGGAGGCTGGCGGAAGACACACAGCCTCGGCAGAAGACTCATCCCCCCTCCTGGTTCCCCTCCCTGGGGGCCCGGGTCCCTCAGACTGAGGGCGCTGGACAGGAACTGCCGAGAGCAAGCAAAGGATCGCCTGTGTGTGGGGTCGCCGGAGATGGTGCCTGAGCCGCATGTCCAGGGCGTCAGGCAGGAGCGTCCCTGGGGTGTGCACCCCGGAGCCAGCCCTGACTCCGGGCTCGTACTTCCTCCGCTGAGTGAGCTGTGGGCTCGTGCCGGCCCCAGGCACTCAGCTGTCAATCTGGGCCAGCTTGGGGATCACCACCTGTTGGCCTCTAAAGCTTGAACTGGTATGCAGGGGGCGAGGTGGATGTCCCCTCACCACCTGTAACGACACACGAGGTGACCTGCAGTGCCTGTCTGCATGGCATGTCTGTTTAGGTTCTCCCTTATCTGAAGAAAGCCCCGTTTGTAGCAGTTGTTGAAGCCATAGCCTTGGGTGTCAAAACAGGGCCTCGGGCGTTTCCTCTGTCGGGGACCAGGCATAGGCAGGGGTGTCGCTGCAGGAGCCACCCACAGCTGAGCTGGGTGCCGCGCCGTGGCTCTGGCGCTGATTTCTCGGCTAGGTGTTCTCTTCATCCATCACGTCCTACCAGACTCTTCCCATTTGTCCCCTCACCTCTCATCACTGTCAATGGTCCAGGGTCCTGCGCCTGACCCCTCCGCCTGAGCCACATGCTGCCCAGGGCCCTCGCAGGCAGCCCGAGCGTCTCCCCTCTCATGTGGGCCCCTGAGCCCAGCTCTGCCCCTCTGCCTCCCCTTCAGCCCTGGCGCCAAGGGAACGCGGCCCTGGGAGGAATGTTGGCCACGCCTTCACCCCCAGGCGACAGTCCTGCCAGTCTCTGGTTGATCAAATGTAGACTCAGAGCCACGGGAGTTCTTCCGCCATGTGGACAGTCACAGCCTTCCCGACCCGACCCTTTGCCGGTCCACACAGCCACAGGACAGCTGGGCAGCCCTCGTGGTCTGAAAAGTCACCTCGTCTGTCCCTCCGTGCATCCCGCGTGGTTGTGGGAAGACCGGGCGCCCTCGCAGCCACCCTCCCGCAGCCTCTGGTTCTGCCGTGGCGTGGTGGGCTGTGCCACTGGCTTCTGTCCTCATCCCAGTTTTCCTCTCTCTTTTATTTTACTTTTGCGAGATTTTATCAACTTTTCCCATCCCGTCTCTGTTTTGCTATCCTTTATAGTTTCTTTTTTTTTTTTTGAGACAGGGTCTCCTCTGTCGCCCAGGCTGGAGTGCAGTGGTATAAATCAGCTCACTGCAGCATCGAACTCCTGGGCTCAAGTGATCTTCTTACCTCAGCCTCCCGAGTAGCTGGGACTACAGGTGCACGCCACCACACCTGCGTAATTCTTAGATTTTTTGGATAGAGATAGGGTCTTGCTATGTTGCCCAGGCTGGTCTCGAACTTCTGGCCTCAAGTGATCCTCCCACCTTGGCCTTCCAAAGTGCTGGAGTTACAAGGCGTGAGCCACCATGCCCAGCCTGTCATTTCTAGTTTCTGAAAGTCTTCTATTCTTAAAGTGCTCTATTGTAGCATTATGTTCTTACTTCATGGAAGCAATGCCATTTTTAATCTAATCTCTCTAAGGATGTTAAAAAGCATAGCTTTGTTGAGATACAATTGAAATAACACAAGTCACCCATTTAAAGTGAACAACTCAGTGGTATTTGATACATTCAGATGTTGTTTCGCTACCACATCTTCCTAGTTCCAGAACATTTCATCCCCTCTGAAACAAAACCTGAACGCATCGGCAGTCACTCCCCGCTCCCCCTCCCCCAGCCCCTGGCAGCCACCAGTCTGCTTCCTGTCTCTGTGGGGCTGCCTGTCCGGACAGTCCATGCAACATGTGGCCTTCTGTGTGTGGCTGCTCTCACTCGGCATGGTGTTGAGGTTCATCACGCAGTAGTGGGTGTCGGCACTTCGTGCCTTTCCGAGGCCGAGCACCGTACTCCTGCACGGATAAACGCAGCCGTTCGTCACCTGGTGGACGCCTGGGCGGTTTCCACCGTTTGCCAGGTGTGAGCAGAGCTGCTGTGGCCGTGCGTGTGCAGGGCTTCGTGTGGACCTGGGTTTCCCCTCTCTTGGGTACTTCCCGGGGAGCGTCAGGGAACATCTGGTGGTTACTCTGAGCCCTGCCAGACTGCAGCCACGTGGCCACCCAGTTCAAGTAGACAAGCGGTCACACCGCACAGCTGTGAAGGGACCGCTGGGGCTCCTGGGTCGCTGACATTGCCTCGCGGGGACTCCTGGGTCGCTTCCAGCGGTTGGCTCTTGTCAGCTAGGCTGCTGTAAACAGCGCACACGAGGGTTTCCATTTCTCTCAGACGCACCGAGGAGTGGAATCGCTAGATCGTGTGGCCGTCCTGTGTTTCGCTTTTTGAGGAACCTCCAAGCTCTTTTCTTCAACCAGCGTATCATCTTGCAGTGCCACCAGCAGGGCACAAGGATTGCAGTTCCTCCGTGTCCTCGCCAATGCTTGTCATTTTCTGTCTTTCCTGATTCTAGCCGTGCTCGTGGGCTTGCAGTGGTATCTCCTTGTGGTTTGGTTTGCTTTTCCCTGATAGAGGAGGTTGAGCATGTATTCACATGCTCGTTGGCCGTCTCTATGTCTTTGGGGACATGTCCATTCAAATCCTTAGTCCTTTTTTTTTTTTTTTTTTAACAGGGTATCGCTCTGTTGCCCAGGCTGGAGTGCAGTGGTGCAGTCACAGCTCACAGCAGCCTCCAACTCGTGGGCTCAAGCAATTCCTGCCTCAGCCTCTCCTGAGTAGCTGGGACTACAGGCATGCACCGCTACATCTGGCTAATTTTTCAAATTATTTATTTATTTTTGTAGAGACAAGATCTCACTATGATGCTCAGGCTGATCTTGAACTGGTGGGCTCAAGTGATCCTCCTGCCTCAGTCTTCCAAAGTGCTGGGGTTACAGGCGTGAGCTACTGCGCCCCACCCTCAAATCTTTAGTCTTTCTAAGGATATTAAAGCTGGTGTTTTTGTTGATTTATATATTTTTTTAACATTCTTCTCCCCTTAGCAAATCTCTCTCTCCTTTCAAATGCATTTTCCTGTCTGTCTTGGGGTTTGACATTTGGTGCAGCCTTTGGGGGACATTCCTCCGGGCAGCTCGGCTTCCTTCAGGGTAGTTGCTGAGGGGTCTCTGACTGCCCCATGTGCCCTAGACCTGGGTCCTCTGTTTCCTCATCTTCCGAGGCCACACATCGATCCCCCGTCTTCCGCGTGTGGCCCAAGTGGCTTACCAGCCGCCTGAAGGGGAGGAGCCCAGGCTCCTCTGCTACCTGATGGTGCCCTAGGTTCACTGCCTTGCAGCCCCACCGGCAACGACCAGGACCCAGAGGGGGCTGGGGGGCCAGCCCGCAGGAGCCCCGGGGGCTCTCGCTCCAGGCCTTGGACTCCAGCCCCTCAGCCCCTGTGAGATGGTCACCACTTACACACCTCTGCGTTGAGCTTTCATATGTCACTGCTTTCTTTCTCCCTGCCTCCGTCTCGCCTTCCTGGTGGGGGCTTGAAGAGCGTGGATTCGGGCGCCAGTCCTTTTTTCCTATCTTTGCCGGGGCTCTGTGTGTCTCCACGTGGTTCTCCTGGCCTCTCAGGCCACTCTGGAAGGGACAACTGTTGTGGTCCGGCGCTGAGGCTGTGGGTCAGGGACACGGCTCTGGTTGTTGCTAGCTGGCGGCTCATCACCATGGCCCCAGACCTGGGCCTCCCTGGGAGTGCGGAGGGCTCTGGCCTCCTGGGCTGCCCTGAGACACACAGCCCCTAGGAGTTGGACAGTTGACAGAGGGGCCCTGCTTGCTGTGCTTACATGGGGAGAAAGAGGGGTGCGCGTTGGGGTGTTTCTTCCTTCACCCCTGGCTGTATCATTTGCTTGGTCCTGGTGGGCCAGTGGCTGCTCGAGGTCATGCTCTGACCGGGGCTTCCTGTGACAGGAAGACCATCCTGTCCTAGGCCAGGGCCCTCACATCTCCTCTGCATTTTGTAACGTTTCTGCAGGAAGCATTGTTAGCAGGATGAACACTTGTCTATAAAAGAAGGGGCCAGTGCCCCAGTGTGTGTCCTGGTCCCCACAGTAGCAGGCATCTAAATGAGCGGGCGGCCAGCCGAGCTCCCCTGGGTGCAGAAGGACGCTGAACAGGGAAGTCCTCCTTTGGATGAGACCGCATAGGACATACTCAGGCCTGGGCTCCCAGGATCCCCCAGCGGGCTCAGCCCCGCTCTGGTGTTGGGGTGTCCCTCCCCTGAGGCATCTGCCCCCAGCTAACCTGGCCCTGCCTGTCCCTGCAGGAAACTGTGCCAGCCGCAGAGTGCAGGTGGCCTTCCCGGAGACCCTGCTGCCTCCAGCCCTCCCGACGAGCACAGGAGCTCGGCCTCGCCCCCTCAGGTGCGTGCGGCGGGCCTGGGCGACAGGTGCGGGTGCTGGTGGGGGAAGGTAAGGGGCGTTCATGGCTGCTGCTTGGAGCCCATCCCGGCACCTCGTCCTCCTGCCCCTCTGAGTCTTCCCTGGGGACACCCTCACTGTCCTTGGCCACAGGCCTGCAGGTCTGGGGTGACCGTCCCGAGCCCCTGCAGGGCACCCTGTGCGGCGTCACCTTTGTCACTTTGGTCCCCAGGTCCTTGGAGCACGCACTGTCCTGACCTGCCCATGTCCTCTCCATGACCGAGGGGGCAGCTTCACTGGGGGCTGGGGTCCTGCCGGGGTGGCCACAGCACCCCTGTGTCGCTCATGGTGCACAGCTTGGGGACAGAGTGGCCCCTGGCTTGGGTTTTCCCTGTGTCCGTCGGCCTCCCATTCCCATGACTCAGCTCGCCACTGGAGTGAATGTGCTGAGTGGCACTTCAGCCCCCGGGGGTGGCCTTATTACGACTGGACCGGCTGCCCTTCCCTGCCCACGAGCTCTGGGCACCTGGGGCCTGGCTCGGTGTCTGGACGCCCCCGTGTGGCTGAAACAGGCCCTGCAGCGGTCGCTGGGTTTCCTTGCTCATGCTGGGATGCGGCCAGCCGCCCTCTGAAACGGTCTCAATTCTGTCCCAGAAACGGCCGCAGCCTCCCGAATTCATTGACCCCCTGGCCAATAAGAAGCCCAGGATATCCCACTTCACCCAGAGAGCTCAGCCTGCCGCCGTCAACGGGAAGCTGGGTGTGCCCAATGGCCGTGAGGCCCTGCTGCCCACCCCGGGTCCACCAGCTGTCACGGACATCCTCAGCTCCAGCGCCCACCTGCCCCCACGGTTGGAGCCCCCGAGGGCCCATGACCCCCTGGCCGACGTCAGCAACGACCTGGGCCACAGCAGCCGGGACTGTGAGGGTGGGGACGCGGCTGCCGCGGGCCCCACCGTGCACCTTGGCCTTTCCCTGCCGACAGACTGCACCCAGCCCGGCAGGCCCCACGGCAGCCCCTCGCGCAGCAAGTCCAGGAAGAAGTGCAAGAAGCACAAGGACAAGGAGAGGGCGGCTGAGGACAGACACCGGACCCAGCCGCCAGACCACGCGCCCGCCACGCACGGAGCACCACCAGATGCCCCGGGTAGGCGCCGAGGCAGGCTTGCGTGGGGGCTCTGCAGAGGGCGCTGCCCTGTGCCACCCTCACTCTTGGGGGGTCGAGGGGCTGCAGGCCACCCGAGGCTGGGGGAGTGGGGCTGCGCTGCCTGCACGTCCAGCCTTGGCACCCCATGTCCTCGCACCTCGTCGTCTCTCTGCCCCTCCGAGGGGTGAGCTCTGATAGCGTCCTGGTGGCTTGGGCCCCATGATCCTCGCAGTTGCTGTCACTGTGTGTCAGGTCAGCGCTGGGGCTGGGGCTCGCGGAGGGTGACATGTACCGAGAGGGACAGACCCCAGGTGGCAGCTCTGGCTGCAAGGAGACCCTGGACGCTGGGGGGGGGCGGGTGGAGGGGAGCCAGCCCCACCTGGGAGACACAGGGCAGGTGCAAGTGGATAGAGCCCGGCAGGACGTCCGTAGCACCCAGACCGCCTGTGGCGTTGCGCAGTCTGCTGAGGAGTATGGGTTTTAGCCTGCAGGGAGAGGATCTGGGGGACGGGAAGCCAGGAGGACCCGGGAGGCCCGGATGCCAGCAACAGGGTCGGGGTGTGAGGCCGGCAGCCTGTTCACTGAGTAGAGGACCCTCTGCGGGGAGAGTGCGTGGTGGGCTGCGGGGGCGCCAGGGACGTGTCCTCCTGAGAGAGGGCTTCTCTGTGTTGGGGGTGTCATCAGGACCAGGGGGCCTGAGCCATGGCAGAGGCAGGGCCCCGTGCGGCTGCCGATTTACACCGATCAGTGTGACGCAGCAGCGAGAAGGCAGCCGCACCAGCCACGTGGGGTGGGGGCTTCTGTGTCACTGCAGGCGATGGCACAGGTGGCCGCCTCACTCCCCAGTGTCAGCTGGCCCGGGGCGGTCCAGGCTGCGTCGCGGGCTGCCAAGTTTGGATTGTTTCCCTGGGAGGACACCGAGGAGGGGCGTTCCTGGGACTAGAGTGGGAGCCTGTCTTTTGTCAGCCTGGCTGTGAGTTGCCCACCCGCCCTGCACAACGGCCGCCCCCTCCCCCTGCTGAGGCCAGGTGTCGTTGGGCAGAGAGGAGGCATCTCACGGCTGGGTCGGGTCCATCCTGCCTCATATGTGGGCTCAGCAGCTCCCGTGGGCCCGGGTGTGGGTGACTGGTGGGGAGGAGTCGGCCCCTCTGACTGGGCTGGGCCCAAGGCAGGACACCCCACAGCCAGGATGAGGCCAGGATCTGTCTCAAATGGCAGAACGAGACCCTGGATATCCTGGCAGTGCCCCGGAAAAGAGGCAGACCCTGGGCCCAGGACTGGGTTGGACCAAAGAAGAGACACAGCCCAGGCCAGTGCCACATAAGGGGTCAGAGGTGGCTTCTGATCCAGCGTGGTGTGTCGGCCCCCAGGCCCAGGGGGGTTGTCTCATGCCACAGGTGAGGAAGTGCGAGACAGGCAGTAGGTGCCCCAAGTAACGAGAAGCAGGTGACTGAGGCATCAGAAACCGTTACTGGTGCCAGGTGGTCCGTCTCACCCAGGGCCTCAAAGGTGGTCCGTGTCCGAGGAGGTAAGGACAGCTGCGGAGGAGCGCGTTGGGCTGTTCCCAGTGGGCTGCTTGGCAGCCACCCGCAGCCGGTGCCTGAGCAGGAACGGGGGCCGCAGGTTTGCTGAGGGCCGACCTGGTAGGTCCCACAAGTACTGTGTTGAGCCGACCCTGAGCCTCGGTTTCCCCATTTGTCACCCTAGCTGGTGAAGATCTGGGGATTAAATGAGGTGACGCTGACTGGGCCCAGCACCCAGCAGCCACCCGTTCCAGGCGCGGGGAGTCCTGCCCACCACAGGGCAGACGAACGCGTGGGTGTAGGCCCCTCAGGCCAGAGCCCGAGCCCAGCTGCCTGTTCCCTGTGGCCCTGGGGAGGCCACAGCCTCTTAAAGGCGACCCAGGCGGTGGCGGCACTGGTTCAACGGCCAAGCACGGCCCAGAGTGGGGCGTTAGAGCCGCGGGGTGTGCTCAGGCCTGTGGTGGGGACCTGCAGCGGGGTGGTCCAGGTGCCAGTGGGGGGAGGGCTCTGCGGCCTGGAGGTTGTGGGCGGGCTGCGCCCCACTTGCAGGTGGCCTTTCTAGGGACGTGAAAATTTGTGCTGCGGAGACTGTGAAGTGATAAGATCATTTCTGTATTGGGAAAAAGGCCTCTGGAGGGCGGCACGGGGGAAACACGCCAGATCACAGTTGCTGTCAGCCGACGGCCGCTTCAGGCCAGGCCCCTTGTGCCCTGAAGAGCTAAGCGATGTCAGCAATCACGTCCTGGAGCGCCACTCGCGGACGGCTGGCTGGCTCCAGCCGGCCCTGTTCCCGAGCTGCCACGTGGAGCCTGCAGCCTGGGGTCCGGTGGGAAGGGCCGGGCGGGACTCAGACCAAAGGCCAGAGGCCAGGCCCTGCCAGCCGTCCTGTCTTTGCCCTTCGTGGCCAGAGACTGGGATGCCCCAGGGACTTGGATCGTGCCAGGGGTCATTTGCTTGCAGCCCAGTGACCTCTGACGTACAGTCGGGACACGGCAGAAGGCTTACTGGTGTCGAGCTCCGAACAGGTTGCGCAGGCTTTGGCCCTGCAATTAACGATGGCCAAGAATGCGACCGGCATCTGGGCTCTGCACCCTGCAGGGCTCTGGCCTGGGTTCACGGGCGCATGCTGTGCCTGGCTCACCACCTGGGGGCGCTCCTGGGTCCAGCAGCCCTGGGTGCCTGGCCCCCAGTGGACGGCCGCACACCCTCCCACACCACCCCTCTGCTGCCGTCCCTCCTTGTCCCCCAAACAGCCAAACGTGCCCCCTCACACACGTCCCCATCCCCGCGCCTCCTGCGGACCAGTGCCGGGCCTGGGCTCAGCAGGTGCGTCTGCTCTCGCAGGTTTAAACGGGACGTGCAGCGGCTCCAGTGTGCCCACGTCCACGTCGGAGACGCCCGACTACCTGCTGTGAGTCCTCGCGGGGCTTCCCTTTCCTGGGCTCACCCCCACCCCCGTACCGCAGCTTAGCAGAGGCGGAACCCACTGCTGGGTTGGGTTTGTGAATCCAAACAACACGTGGGCTGCGGCATCGCCCTCCAGGCCAGCCCCTCTCCTCCCCCTCCGCAGGAAGTACGCGGCCATCTCCTCCTCAGAGCAGCGCCAGCGCTACAAGAACGACTTCAACGCCGAGTACAGCGAGTACCGCGACCTGCACGCCCGCATCGAGCAGATCACTCGGAGGTTCACGCAGCTCGACGCCCAGCTCAGGCAGCTGTGCCAGGGCTCCGAGGAGTATGAGGTAGGCGCCCCTGCCCCTGCCGCGCCCTGGCTCTGCCGGAGCCCACGCTGTGGGGCCACCAGGACCATGAGGGCTCAGGACAGCGTCTCCCGGGTGCCAAGCGCCCCACGCACATGCGGCTATCCTGGGTTTCAGGCCCGGGCCTGGGGCTGTGCTGTGGGGGTCCTCGCAGGCGACCCAGCTTGCCAGCCTCCTCTGCGGTGGGGACAGCCATGACCCGCCTCCTCAGGTGGGGGCTCTGTCGGTGCCTGGGGGCCTCTCAGCCCAGGACACAGGGCTCACTGTGCCCACATCGTGGCCAGACTGCGCAGACACCCCACGGCTGAGAGCCGTCCAGCACTCCAGGCCTATCAGTGCTGCTGCAGCGGGGGGAGGAGTGAGGGCGCTGGGGTTCCCAGTGGTCTTCAGTACCAGGCGGCCCTTGGTTCTCAGGCTTGGGCACATGGCTCCCTGAGCCACACTGTGGGAGGGGAGGGTCTCTACCCTCAGCCACCAGTCCCGGATGCCGCCCTTCAGAGCTGGTGCCCTGACTGTAGGGCTGGGCCCTGATTCATCCTGGGGTCTGTCTTGCCTGGGGAGGCCTCTCTGGTTTCCAAAGGAGACCTCACGATTGGAGGGACCATGGGGGATTTAGAGGGTCTGGGCGTGAGGAGCTTCTGGGGCTGCCCCACGCAGCCAGGCCACGTGCACGCGCAGCCTCCCGAGGCTCCGACAGTCCCCACCCCCGCCCGTCCCAGGCCTGTGTCCTCTGCTCTGCGGCCTCTCTCCTGCCCCGCCCACCACGGAGCCCTGCAGCTGCGGGCCCCTGGGGCGCTGCTTGGAGTGCTCCTGTGCTGGAGACTGCCTCGCCCCCCCTCTCTGCCACCCGTGCAGAGCGTCTGCCACCAGGGAGAAAGGGCCACTCCGCTTGGGTTTCCCACAGGTAGAGCGTCATTTATTTCTCTTGTTTTCCCTGCAGACCACGCGTGGGCAGATTTTGCAGGAATATCGGAAAATCAAGAAGGTGAGTCTCTGCCGCATGGCAGGCTCGGGGCGTGTCAGAAGCAGCCGATTCAAAGGGAGCCTGCGGAGAAGAGCGGAGGGCCCTGGTGGGCCTCAGCGGCCTCCCTGTCCCACCAGCCTGTGGGCGAGCCCGGGCAGGGCCTCACTGGCACCCTGTCCCCAGCTGCTGGTGAAGCCCCCGGCCCTGTCTGGCCCCCGTGGGGCACGGGAACAGCCCGTGGGTCGCAGCCTCCCGAGCCGGTGTACAGGGGACCAGAACCCTGGGCATTGAGCCCAGCATGGAGGGTTCTGGTACGAGGGCGGTCACTGTGGGGTAGAGCGGGGGGCACAGTGCCTGGGGTCGAGCCTGACGCCGGACCTGTGGCTGTCCCCAGACCAACACCAACTACAGCCAGGAGAAGCACCGCTGTGAGTACCTACACAGCAAGCTGGCCCACATCAAGAGGCTCATCGCGGAGTACGACCAGCGGCAGCTGCAGGCCTGGCCCTAGCTGCCCACCACCTCGCCTCTCCTGACCCGCCGGGTGGCGGGGAGCTGCGGGTGGGGGGTGAAAGAGGATTTATTTAAAACAATAAACGCGAGGAAGACACACGCATCTGAGCCAGCTCCGCCGGCTTCCAGGGGAGCCCCTGCAGACCTCTGGCCCACGTGGGGTGGCCTGGGCCCACCCCTGGCCCTCCCTGCCGCTCCCCAGCAGCCCTGGCCCGACGGGCTCCGGGAAGCCCCTCTCCTTTGCTGCGGCCCGGGGCGTTCAGCTTCCTCTCGCCGAAGACTCAAGGCCCTCAGAGGCCACCCGCCTGCCTTTTCTAGTTTTATACAAAGACAGCCACTTTAGCTACGCTAGTGAGACTTGAGTCTATTTTTGTACAAAAAAGAAAGCAAAATCTTTTTTTCTAAACCTGTGCCTCCCTCCCCTTGGATGCCCAGGGTCTAGACTCTGCCCTGCGTCCTTTCCGCAGTATTACGGAAGCCGCCGGAAGGTGCCACCGTTCCGGGAGCTCCGGGCAGGGAAGCCTCCGTGCCTGCTCCTGCCCCTGGGGCAGGGTCTCTGTCAAGCAAAGGGGTGGCCTCGGGGTGGCTGTTCGAAGGGCTCCAGCGTGTGCCCCTGGGCAGCTGCTGGGATCGAGGTGGTGCGGAGAGCGCCAGGCCCGGCCGTCGGGGCTCCAGGCTTGCAGGCTACAGCGGCGGCGTCGCGTTTCCTTCAGGCTGTCCTCGGTCTCCCCCTTTGCCGCTGCTTTTCCATCTCCCGCTGTGGAGGCCACGTGGTCTTTGTCCACTGCTCCGTCCACTCGTGGGTCCCAGGGTTGTCTCAGCAGAGCCACCACCGAGGTTTGCACTCAGGGAGGGGCTGGAGGGGCCGGTGGGGTCAGGGAGGCCCCGGGCAGAGCAGGGGGAGCCGGGTCTGCCCGCTCTGGGGGTGCAGGCTCTGTGGACACCTCAGTTGCTGCTGTGTTGCTGTGCCTAGTGGTCCTGGTACCCCCAAGGCGTCGGGCGGCTGTGCGTGTGCGCGGCCCCACCGCGCTTGCCGGGGTCTGGGGTGTCTGTTCCTGCGCGGGGCTGAGTGGAGCCACGACTTGGGGAGGTGGGGGCTGCCGTGACCTGGAGCCCGGGGCTCTCACGGGGGTCACTGCTGCTGGCGGCAAGGCAGGGAGGGCAGAAGTGCGCAAGCACAGATGTCTATTTTTCTAAACCGCGGGGCGGGGCGCCTCCTAATGGCTTCCAAAGAGCTGGCGCCGTGCGGAGGTGCCCGCAGTGCGTCCCACCCCGCCCCGAAGTCTCTTTCCTTTGGGACCCCGGGTTCCCAGAGCTGAGGAAGCCGATCCTTCATGTTTTGGTAGCCGTTTTGTTTTCATTCGGGACAAGGTGGGGAAAGAGCGGAGCAGGCTTGGGGGGGCCGAGCCCCGCGGAGGGCGAGGTGCCGACTGCGCGGCCGACGCGCGGACTCCGGTCGCACAGGAGGTTGTAAGGAGGCCCCAGCCTTGGGGCGCCGTGCGAGGGACTTTCGGTTGAATTTGCCTTTTTGTCGTTATTTCTCCTTTTAAGGAATTATGAAGCTAAGGAAAGTTTCGTGCTTTGGGGGTTGGTGGACGAGCTGATTAAATGTGGTCTAACTTATTGATACTGTTTTTTTTCCTTTAATGTTGTACTGTGGAGAAAACCTATTTGAGCCATGGAGTTGGTGTTTACAAGAACTTTTCACTTCTGCCAAAATGTTACAATTGAAAGGCATCTGCGTCTTCAGTTTCCTAATATTTTCTTAAAAGATCTAGTGTCCTTTTTGTACACTAAACAGGTGAATGCTGATTTTTTCAATCTACAATAAATTTCAGTGAACTGCATCGGCAGCCCAGGCTGCCTGGCTGGCGTGTTGTGTCACAGCTGGGTTTCCGTGTGGCCCTGTGGCTGGGGTGGCCGTGACTTGGCACGGGGCCGCCAGGGTGGTGAGGAGGGCGCATGGGGGCTCCAGTGTGGACCAGGCAGAGAAGTCATCCTTCCCCGCCCCCCCCCCGAGCCGGGGCCCCACAGGTGCCAGGGCCGGGAGCCAGACAGCCTGGCCGAGAGCAGGAGACGCGGGTGACGGGGAGCCACGGCGGGTGCAGCACAGCCGCACCGGCTGCACACGGGGTGGGCCGAGCCCGGCAGGGGCATCCCTTGGCCGCCTCCGCACCAAAGCCCACGGGAGTGGGGCCAGGAGGGGCGATCATTTGGGGGAAACAGCTGTGACTCTTCGCTCTCTGACAAAAACAGCTGTGGGTACCAGTGAGGCTTTACTGTCTCTTGAGGCCGGCACACTGGGTCAGCGGCCCCTGTGCCACCGTGGGGACAGGGATGCTGAGGCCTAGTGGGCATGACCGTCCCTGCCCCGAGTCCCAGGTGAGAGCTGGAGGCGCAGAGGACGCAGAGCGATCGTCCTCCCCGCCAGGGTCGAGTGGGGGTGGGCATAGTGGGGAGCGAAGTGTCGCTGGGGTCAGCGGCTGTGGGTGCCAGCCCCCCTGCTGGCCAGTGGCCTTGGCCTGGGTTCTGAGGTGGCCCAAGAGTCCGAGGGGCGCGGGAGGAGAAGTCAGGCGGCCCCGCAGGGCAGAGTGTACCCTGCCCCCGCACGGCCTGTTCTTCCAGGGGATAACATCTCTGTCACCTCCTCCACCTCGCTGCTCTGCCCAGCAGCCTCCCCCAGCCGGTCAGTCCCCTGGCCATCCTTCCTGAGTCATGGGTGCCACCGGTCTAGTCCGCTGGGACCCAGCAGGGTCTTCCCACCCCAGTGCCTAGGGCACCACGGCAGGGAAGGGCTCCGGGCTGCCTGCCCATTCTTGCCATTTGTAGGACGGTGTCCCCGGCTGCTCTTCCCACCAGCACCCTTATTCCCACAGCCCCTCCGGTGTGCCGGGCTCCACCTGGCTCCGGGACACAGCAGTGACTGGCAGCCCCATCCCTGCCTCCGGGAGGCCGGAGCCCGGAGGCCGGTGCCTGTTCTCAGCGCCCAGCCCCTCGGCCTTGCCAGCCGCAGGCCCTTGCAGTCACCTCGCGGCGCCAACTGCTGCGAGTGGAAGCAGCGCAGCCCGATGCGGCCTCCCACCCCACCAGCCTCCTGCTGGCACTGCCCACGGCCGCCCTGTGAGCACAGGGCCCCCTCACCTGCGCACATTCCTATGTCGCACGTCGCCTCAAGGCACGGGCTCCCTCTCTGATTCTCTGATCCTCCGATACCTACTGAGCATCCAACAGTTCAGTCCCCAGAGATAGCATCAGACTCCACGAGCTAGTCCCACAGGAAATTCCCGCCCCCGTGCGTCCAACCAGCCCGCTATAGATCTGGGGTCCCCCACAACCCCCATCTCAGCTCTGACAACTTGCTAGCTCAGGAAAATGCTGACAGCCGGCAAAGGAGAGGCACGGGGTGCGGCCTGGGCGTGGAGCTTCCCGTCCTCTCCGGTGCGGGCGCCACCCTCCCAGCGCCTCCACATCCGCACTCAAACCCCATTGTTAAGGGTTTAAAACAGAAGTTTTCAGAGACAGGGACAAACTCCTGGGTGATCCCCTCACCTCAGCCTCCCAAGTAGCTGGGACAACAGGCCTGCACCACACCTGGCTTCGTTCAGGGGTTTTTATGGAGACCTCCTGGGATGGGAGATGTGGGATACCTTTTCCCCACCCATCATAAGGGTCCCCGTTGACACTCCTGTAACAAAAGACAAGTTAACAAGAGAAAAGCGTAACAAATTTATTTAATCCAAGTTTCTCAGGACAGGAGCCTTCAGGAAGGAAGAGCCAGGGCAAAGTTTTTCTGCTCCAGTTCTCTGAAGAGTGTGCGGACATGTGATTGGACAAAAGGGTACGGTCTCACGGAAATACAGGCAGCTGGGGTGGGACCCAGCATGGCCTGTCTGCTCAGACTTCTCGGCTCCCCCAGTAGCATTCCTTCCTCCAGGGAATGGGGCAGAGCCCTTCTGGAATGAGGGTCTTCAAGGGGGAAGGTTACAGTTTCTATGACCTGCCTTGCGGAAGAAGAATTCTGGTTTCCATGACTCGCTTCGGGGCGAAAGAGGGGCGAGAGACCTTGCTTCTGCTGCCTTCTGGTTTGCTTTAGGTCCAAGCACTCAGCCTGCCAAAGGCCACACTTCGGGGGACTTGTGTCCTGAGCCGTAGCCGTCTCTACACAGATATGATTAAATCAATGGCCACTGGCAATTAAACTCAAATCTCCAACCCCACCAGGAGGAAGACCCAATAGTATATATCACACACCCAGCCCTGAGGGTCTGCCCCAGTCCGCAGACTGCCTCCCACCTGGCCATCTTTGCCTCTGCCCTCTCTGGGCAGCTCAGGTGGCCCAGCCTGTAGTTTTCTCTCAGTGAACTCCTCTTCGTATCTAAAACCCTTTACAGCTCATCTGGCAAACCGGGGGGTGGGGGGTTGCCCCAGTCCACTTCCAACTCCCTCAGACTGGGGCCCCTTCAGGGTGAGGCCTGGAGCCGGAATCTTGGAACCCCCACTCCCGAAGGTCAGGCCCTGTCTCCTGCAGACGTTCCCAACCATCCACCTTTGGGGCCAGCTGCAGTGGTGGAAACTTTCCGCGGCTTATTTTGGAAAGTTCCTGGGGAAGCTGCCCCCGCCCTCGGCTGGGTTCCCACGCTCCCTTATCCCTTATCGCCGCATGAGGGGCGCCATGCTGTGCCGGCCTCGTTCCTGTTCCTTCCCAGCTGGCCGCCGGGCCCTGCCAGAGCCCTCCCCTCCCCAGCCCGCCGCCCTCCCCTCCAGCCCACCCTCGCGAGCCCTCCTCCTGCAGGTGGGGGAATCAGGCCACGCAGGCCCCATCCACGCGAGTCCCCTCCAGAAACAGTGATTTCATCCACCCTGAGACTGGAAGGGGGCATGGGGAGCCCGGCGGGGACAGAGTTGGGGATAGCCTGGGTGGGAGGGGATTCTGGCTTTGAGGTCCGAGTCCCGGCTGGTCCTCTGCCTCGGTTTCCCCTCCGGTGTCTCGGGCCCTGAGACCCCCCCCAAGCCCTGCCCAGCTCCACCCCGGCCTCGCTCATTTGCACCCTCCTCATCCTCTTTTGTAAAATGGGAATACGCGGCCGCGCGCCCCAGGGTTTGCGGGGCGAGGTGGACGCACGCCGCGCTGTGGACGCCGCGCTGTTTCCGCTAGACCGAGACCCTGTGGCCACTGTGGGCTCCAGAAAGTCGGGGCCCGAACCCCCAGGCCCCAGACGTCGCGCCCCTCCCCCCTGGCGCGGGCGGGCGCGGGCGGGCGGGGCGGGGGCGTGGCTGCAGAGCTTTTCTCCCGAGGCCGCGCGCGGCAGAGCCCGCGCTGTCCGCCGCCGCTGCCCGAGCCGACTCAGCGCCGGTGAGTGCGGTGCCGGGGGTCGGGGTGCGGGTTCCCCGGGCGCCCAGACCGGCTTCTCCCGGCCGCTTAATGTCCCTGCTCACCCCCTGCTAGCCCTGCGTCCCCTAGCCCGCCGCGATGGAGGCCGCCGCCCAGTTCTTGGTGGAGAGCCCGGACGTGGTCTATGGCCCTGAGGCCATCGAGGCGCAGTACGAGTACCGGACGACGCGCGTCAGCCGCGAGGGCGGTGTCCTCAAGGTGGGCGAGGGACCGGGGAGACATAGGGATTGGGGGCGCCGGGGAGTCCGGGGATTTGCTGATTGCCCAACATCTCCAACCCCGTTCCTGCAAAGAGGGGATAGGGGACATGTCCCCGGGGCTCACTCCGCTGCCTGCCTCCAGGTGCACCCTACGTCCACGCGCTTCACCTTCTGGACCGCCCGGCAGGTGCCCCGGCTCGGGGTCATGCTAGTCGGTTGGGGCGGGAACAACGGTTCCACGCTCACTGCTGCCGTGCTGGCCAACCGACTGCGCCTGTCCTGGCCCACGCGCGCCGGCCGCAAGGTGGGGGCGGCGGGGCTCCGCGGGGCCCCTGCAGGGGGCGGGGCCTCCAGGAGGCGGGACCCGGCGGCGGGCGGGCTCGGAGGAGGGGTTTCCTCGAGGTAGCGGGGTCGCGGGGGCGGAGCCTAAGGTGCCGGCAGCCTTGGCGGAGGGGCGGGGAGGGGGGAGGTTTCCGCCCTGACTAGAAACCCGAACCGAAAGCGCCCGACGGCGGCGCGGAGCTTGAGGGTCTGCGCGGCGCCCTGGCCGGGTCTTTGCCCCCCGCGCCACTCCCACCGTCACCCCGCTGTGCCCGCCGCCCCACAGGAGGCCAACTACTACGGCTCGCTGACTCAGGCGGGCACCGTGAGCGTGGGCCTGGATGCCGAAGGCCAGGAAGTGTTCGTGCCCTTCAACGCGCTGCTGCCCATGGTGGCACCCAACGACCTGGTGTTCGATGGTGGGCGGAGCCCTAGGCCGGGAGGCGGGGTGGGCGAGGGGTCTGGAGGGTGCCGAACCCGGGCGGGGCCGAGCGTGAGGATCCACCGCAGGCTGGGACATATCGTCGCTGAACCTGGCCGAGGCGATGCGGCGCGCGGAGGTGCTGGACTGGGGGCTGCAGGAGCAACTGTGGCCGCACATGGAAGGCCTGCGCCCGCGGCCCTCGGTCTACATCCCGGAGTTCATCGCGGCCAACCAGAGCGCACGCGCGGACAACCTCATCCCGGGCACGCGCGCGCAGCAGGTGCTGCCCCATCCCGCATCCCTGTTTCCCGCCACCGGTTCCCCATCACCTATTTTTCGCCTCCTGTTCCCCCACTTTTGCCCCATCCCGCGAGTCCAGGCCCCACTTAGCACTTGGGGAACTGAGTGATCCAGGCCTCCGTAGGCTGTGGGACCTGGACAACCTCCCCGTACCCTACCCCCAGCTGGAGCAGATCCGCAGGGACATCCGAGACTTCCGGTCTAGTGCGGGCCTGGACAAGGTCATCGTCCTGTGGACAGCGAACACCGAGCGCTTCTGCGAAGTAGTTCCGGGTCTCAACGACACAGCCGAGAACCTGCTGCGCACCATCCAGGTAGCGCCCACCAGGGACCGTGGGGTCAGGTCCAGCCCCAAAGACCCGTCTGCGCTGACTGCCCGGTCGTCCCCACAGCTGGGCCGGGAGGTGTCCCCATCTACACTCTTCGCCGTGGCCAGCATCCTGGAGGGCTGTGCCTTCCTCAATGGGTCCCCGCAGAACACGCTGGTGCCCGGCGCGCTGGAGCTCGCCTGGCAGCGCCGCGTCTTCGTGGGTGGAGATGACTTCAAGTCAGGCCAGACCAAGGTCAAGTCCGTGCTCGTCGACTTCCTCATCAGCTCTGGCCTCAAGGTGTGTGGGCCTGGGGGTGCAGGCAGGGACCCTGGACTCCGAGCACCCGGCTTGTATGCCACAGGGCCTGGAGCCGCTGTGGCGTCATTTGTACCCGCAGACCATGTCCATCGTGAGTTACAACCACCTGGGCAACAACGACGGGCAGAACCTGTCGGCACCGTCGCAGTTCCGCTCTAAGGAGGTGTCCAAGAGCAACGTGGTGGACGACATGGTGCAGAGCAACCCGGTGCTCTACGCGCCCGGCGAGGAGCCCAACCACTGCGTGCGTGGGGGGCGGGCGCGGGCGGGGGGCACCCGACGGGTGGTGGCGGGGACCCGTGCGACCTTGTGCCGCACCCCAGGTGGTCATCAAGTACGTGCCCTACGTGGGCGACAGCAAGCGAGCGCTGGATGAGTATACGTCGGAGCTGATGCTGGGCGGAACCAACACGCTGGTGCTGCACAACACGTGCGAGGTGCAGGCGGGCGCTGGGCCGCGTGGGGCAGGGGGCCGGCCCCGCCCTGCCTCCCGCTTCCTGACCCGCCTGCCCCCCAGGACTCCCTGCTGGCCGCACCCATCATGCTGGACCTGGCGCTGCTCACGGAGCTGTGCCAGCGCGTGAGCTTCTGCACCGACGACGACCCGGAGCCGCAGACCTTCCACCCGGTGCTGTCCCTGCTCAGCTTCCTGTTCAAGGCGCCGCTCGTGCCGCCTGGCAGCCCAGTAGTCAACGCGCTCTTTCGCCAGCGCAGCTGCATCGAGAACATCCTCAGGTGCGCCTGGCCTCGGCGCAGTTGGGTAGCTGGTGGGGCTGAGCGCAGGGCCGGGGGTGGGGGGCCTGGCCCTGCTGAGCTCCCACTCTCCCCCCAGGGCCTGCGTGGGGCTCCCGCCACAGAGCCACATGCTGCTGGAACACAAGATGGAGCGCCCAGGCCCGGGGCTCAAGCGAGTCGTGCCCGCGTCTGCCGCCTGCCCTATGCCGCTCAGGAAAGGACCAGCACTCACTGTCCCCAACGGCTGCACGGGCGACGCCAATGGGCACCTACAGGTGCAGGAACCCCAGACACCCACCTTCTGAAGCTGTGGTCACGCAGCTAGCTTCCCGGGCTTCCTTCCCTTTGCACTTCCGAACCCGCCCCCTTCAGGCCCCCAAAGACAATAAAGCCGGTACCCCCACCCACCAAACTTCCACCTGTGGGTTCTTGGGGCCTGTGACCGGGATGCGTCTCCCTCTATCACCCCCAGCTCCGAGCGTCTCCAGACCGGACCTCAGCCCGCCCCCTTTTTCAAAGCTTTTACCCCCATCCCAGGGACCGCACAGCCCCTGGAGCCTCAGTGCATCACAGTCCTGGAAGGTGGGACTCGGGGGAAGGGGCCGCAGGCCAAAGTGAGGGGATCTGAGACCAGCTACCAAAAACCAAAACCAAGTTACATTTATTGATGAGGTCCACCCCCTGCCGTCCTGGAAAAAGGGGGGGCCCTGAGGAGCCCCTCTCCCCGAACAAAATACAATGGCGGGAAACGCCCATACAGGAAAGAACGTCTCTGAGGTCCTTGCGTTTTCATTTTTTATAAAATGAGAAAGTCCTTCGTGCGGGGCCTCCCAGCCAGGCAAGCCTTGTTTGGCAGGGAGTCCGGTTGCCCGAGGCGTGACCTCAGAGCCTGGCCCGAGCAGGGCGCCGGCAGAAGCCCAGGCCGGTAGGGCCGGGCCGCCGCCCATCACACGCTCACGGTCATCCCGGGCGAGTACTGCGGAGAGAGGGGGCAGCGCGCAGAGCACAGGCTTAGCTCCGGAACAGGCTGGGACCCGCCCCCGAGGGACAATGGGGGACAGGGCAGGGCCGGGTCCTGGGCAGACAACAGGGAGGGGACAGGAGGGCATGGGGCGGGGCCGATGCCTGAGGAAGCCGCCCTGGGGCGCGGGTCCCGGGGTGGGGTGGGGTGGGGGCGGGACGGTGAGATGGGGGCGGGAGTGGAGAGGGTGGGAGGGTTCAGGCAGGGGTGAGGATGCCGCGGCCGCCCCCCCACCTGGCCCGCCGCGGTCACGGTCTTGCTCTGGCCCCGCGGCCGCCCCGCCGGGGCCTGCCCGCCAGGCCCCTCCGGCCCGACGCCGCCGCGGGGGGGGAGTCGACGCAGTCGCTTACGCTTTCGCTCGGGAACGGGTGCAGGAAGGTCCCGGCGGCCGCCATCTCGCCGTCGTCCCGCGGGGTGCCCGGGGCGTTGCTCAGGCCGGCCACGGCGCCGGGGGAGCTCTGGGGGCGGCCGCGGTCAGCGCGGGACTTCCGGCCCCGCCCCCGCCCCGCCTGCGACCCCCGGGCCCCGCCCCCCGCCGGAGCGCGGCCCCCTCACCTTCGGCAACCCGTCCACGTCGCCCGAGCCTGCGGACCGACAGACCACGGACACCCGGCTCAGACGCGCCTGCGCCGGGCCCGCCCGCCTCCGAGGGCCGCCTCCACCCGACCCCGCGCCCGGAGCTGCCCCCGCCGCCGCGCCCCTCACCCCGGTCCTGCCCGCTGGTGCGCCACCGGGAGTCCCGGGACAGGGGCCGCGCGGAAAGTCCGAACTGGGGGGCTGTCAGTGCGTCCCAGTGGCCTCGTCGCTGGACGCCCCCTCGGCGCAGCCCGCGTCACTGAGCGCCCCTCGGGGGGCTGGAGAGCTGCCCCGACGCCTCCAGTGGGTCGGGCGGAGGGGCTCGGGCGGGGACGCGGGAGTGGGGATGCAGGGCGCCCACTCACCCAAGGATCCATTCACGTGGTGCGCCTCCATCGCGCTCATGGCAGCCATCGGGCCCTCTGCGCCGGGACCGAGCGGGAACTGCGGGCACAGGAGCAGCGTGGGACCCCGGCCGCCAGCTGCACCACCTCGAGAAGCACCCCCGCAACCCCACTCACGTTAGCCCTGCCGGCGCCCGGCCCGATGGGGTTCATGATGGTGTACATGTTCTCGCTCGAGTTGGTGGAGTCTGGGGGAGACGGGAGGCTGAGAGGGGGCTTCTTCCCCCCAGCACAGCTCCACCCCCTCCCTGACCGCCGAGGGCCAGGTGGGGGGGCGGCCGCGGCATCCTCACCCCTGCCTGGACCCTCCCACCCTCTCCACTCCCGCCCCCATCTCACCGTCCCGCCCCCACCCCGGGACCCGCTCCCCATAACGGCTTCCTCAGGCACCAGCCCTGCCCCATCCCCTCCTGTCCCCTCCCTGTTGTCTGCCCAGGACCCGGCCCTGCCCTGTCCCCCATTGTCCCCCTGCCCACAGGCCGCACCTCCAGGGCTAGGCATGATGGGTGTTCCAGGAGGGCCGCCTCCTCCTGGGGGTCCCTGCACACGGAGGGAGACAGGGACCATGAGAAAGGCACCTTATCTGCCATCCCGCAGCCCGTGCTCCAAGGTCACCCAGCCTCGCCCCGACTCACCGTGTAGCTGCTGGGGGACGAGGAGGAGTAGGGGATCTGGGGACAGGGGCAGCTGTAAGCAGTCAGCGGCTGGGCTGCTGGCCCAGCACCCCCACACCCGCCCACCCAGCCTGGGACTCACCGAGTTGCCACTGGGGCTGGCCCACGGGCCGCGCACTCCAGGGCCCCTGGAAGAGAGTGCGTGGTCCGACCCTGGGGCTAGATCATGCAGTACACAGCCCTGCCCCTCCGCCCCCATGCCCCGACACCCCCTACCCCGCTCCCCTGTGCCCACAGATGGGACTGCAGAGTAGCAGATAGCGCCTGAGGCATGGTGCCTTAGGCTGCCAGGGTTCAAATCCCAACTCAATGGCCTTCTGGCCATGGGGAGACTAAGTGCTACTATAGGCCTCAGGTTGCCCACCCAACAGTGACAGTGAAATAAACGTCCAGGGCTGTCCTGGGGACTCAGGGCCTGCCCTAGCAAAACCAGCCAATGAAGCTGGGTGCTGGCCTGCGAGGTGGACACATTCCTGGGGTCCCCGAGGGCCTTACATGTTCATGGCAGGCAGGCCTGGACCGGCAAGGGAGTTGGGTGGGGGCCGCATGCCCCCTCCATAAGTCTGTGAAGTCAAAGGGGCTGTAAGGGGGAGGGGGGACAGCCCTTCAAGCCACACCCTCCACCAGGGCCCAGCCCTTACCTGGGGACCGATGCTAGCCATGCCCCTGGGGGGTGTCACCCTCTGCATTGGGCCGCCCATGCTCAGATGCCCTGGGGTGGAGGCAGAAGGACAGGGCTCAGACCGGGACCACTCCCCAGCGTGGACGCAATGGTGAGGCAGCAAGGACGGCGCTGAGCTGGGGTCCGGACTCATCGGGTGGGGGGACAGCAGCTAGAGTTTCCCTACTCACCCTGAGCACGCGGGGAGGAGTCCATGGCACTAGGGAGGAGGGGCTGGGAGCCAGGGAGGCCCACAGGAGGCTGCAGAGGGGGCGCAGTGGCACTAAGCATGGGGTGCCCCCACCCTGCCCAATTCCTGCCCCCTCCCCTCATCCCTCTCACCTGACTCGGCATCCGCAAGGTGGGCCGGGGGCCCCCTGGGAACCGCGGTGACATGAAGGGCTGGAAGACGTGGGCAGGGGTCAGCACCTCCCTCCACCCTCTGGCTCCCCAAAGCTACTTGATTCCTACTATGCCTGGGTCCCCAACCTGGATCACCCCTGCCCCAGAACAAGCCAGCAAACTGGCCAACATGGGGCAGGGGGCGCAGGCAGGAGGTGCTGGGGGGATGCGTGTGTGCGGGGTGGGCGCCACAGTCCTTACCTGGCTGTGAGGCCCCATCATGGGGGCACTGGGGTTGTGGGGGGGCGGCTGGGAGCCGGGGGGGCCCTAGGACAGAACCAGGTGGGTTGGGGACAGCGAGGCCATCAGAAGCCCTGCTGTTTCCTGGCCCTGCTGAGCCTGGCCACGGAAGGGGAGGGGCTCCACGGGGGCTGGAGGGTGGCCAGCCTATGGGACAGGGAGCCCTGCAGGAAGGGTCTGGGGCAAGACTAATGGCACCAGTGGTCACTAGGACCACTGGTGGCCACTGCATCCACAGGCACTCCAAACACACCCATGTACAGGCCAAATGCACCGAGACCCGCCCTCCGCTGCACTCAGGCCCCTCCCGAGCCAAGGCCCGAGCGGGCACACCTACCGCGTGGCCAACACCCCCAGCCGACTCCAGCCTGCCAGCCTCAGGACCTCTCCCACTGAGGGGGCCCCACCCTCAGACACATGTCCACCCAGGGTTGGGGGACGAGGGGTCCCAGCCCCGGTGGTACCTGGAAGAAGCCGGCTGCCATGGGGCCTGCAGCCATGACATCGCTGGGGGCCATGCTCCCCGTCACGGGGCTGGGTGCCGCCGCGGCGCTCTGCAGGAGTGGGAGAGACCCAGAGGGCCCAGTCAGGACACCCCCTGCCCGGGGTGTTACCCTTTCTCTCTGCAGGGGCCAGCCCCCGGGGACAGGGAGCTGTCAGGTGGGGTCAAGCCAGGATTTGAACCCAGGCCACTGGATCGTGTATGGGGAATGGAAAAGAGTTCTGCAGGAAGGGGAAGAGCAGCTGTCCCTGCCCCACTCCCACCCCCAGTTAGGCTACCCTGACAGGCCTCCAACCACACCAGCTAGCGGCCCCAGCCACGAGGAGCGCCTGGCCTGAGGCTGCCGTGGGCCCAAAGGTGTGAAGGGCCCAGGACCCCAGCAGCCCCTCAGCCAGCTCCCGACGGTGGTCCCTCCCTGGCCCACCCCAACTGGGCCCCCAGATCTACCTGACACCCCAAATAAACACCCCCCCAAAATCCATCAGCAGTTCCAAGATGAACCTCCCTGAAGACCCCCTTTGGCACTCCTGTGCAGACCGCTGCCCCCTTCCCCCAGGAGGCAAGGAGAGGAAGAGCAGGAGCTGGGAGGGGGGTCCCCAGGCTCCCAACCTCCCTCAGATGGAGAAGGGAGAAGACGGGGTGCTGAGCGGGGTTCCCGCGTCTGCCAAGGGCGGAGGTTCTGGTGGCAGCCTGGGGTGGCAGGGGCAGGCTGATGGCCACTTCCACTGGTTCCGAGTCCCAGAACTGTCTGCCTGTGGGGCCCACAGGGTCAGGTGCAGGGAGGAGGGCAGGGGGTGTGCGCGGAGGGAGGCCCCGTCTGCCAGGGCAGAGGGCCCCATCTCAGCAGAGGGATGCGGGAGGATGACTCAGGTCTGCCTGCATCCCCTCTCCCAGCCAGGCCCTGAACCCCAAGAGGAAGGGGACCGGCCGTTGCTGGGCCGGCACACAGGACGGCTCCAGAGTTTGTGGAACTGCAGTGACACAGTGTTCTCCGCGCTGCAGGAGTGGAGAAAGGGCCCCTTGGAGACACCCTCCTGCCCCGTGTGGGACTCCAGGCTGACCCTTTCCTGCCCTTACTCAAAGGTCAGCCTCAGCAGGCGTACCAGGCACTGAGGTAGCGGGGACGGGTGGGAGCCCCCCAAGCCCACGAGACTGAGAACATGCCCAAGGCCCACAGCAAATCATCTGAAAGCCACGTGCCCTGGGACCCCACTCCTGTGCGTCTGTTTCCAGTTCCAACTGCCAGGTCCCCTCTGGGCTCTGCCCCCCAGCCCCCGCCACAAACACCATGGCCTGGAGCAGTGGGCTCCCAGACTGCCTCTGGGCTCTGGGTCTGTCCACTCTGCAGGGGGGGCAGCCCCCCTTTCAGGCCACAGCAGGCGCCTGACATTTCTGGGGGAGGCGAAGCCGAGGGCACGGCTGGGCGCTGTGCTCCGGGGCAGGAGGGCACATCCCGCACCCTCTGAGACCCCCACAGCTCCCCAACTCTAGGCCCTGAGGAGTTAATCCTGGGCCAGCACACCCTCCCTGGCCAGTGGCCCGGTAGGACCCCCTAGTCAATCATCCCTGAAGAGGCGCAGGCCCCACTGTTGCCATGACGACGGGCTGGGCGCTAGCGTTTCCTGGAGATGCCAAGGTGGGCAGGGGAGCCCCGAGTCCCAACTCGGAGGGCCAGAGGAAGGGGACCCCACTGCGCGCAGGAGCCACAGACTGCGTGCCCCCAGTTAGAGCGAAGACAACGGTGGCCTGGCATGACAGATGCCCGGCTTCTCTTTGTGGCCACCTTCTGCTGTGCCCAGTAGTCGCCTGATGCCCTGCGCTGCCATGGTAACTGGCGCCTCAGGCAGGGAAGCATGTTCACGATTGTGGCCAAGAGCCTGCTCTGCCCTCCCCACCCGTGAGGGGCGGGCGGGTGCCCAGAGGCTGCCAGACCTTGGCGGGAGGGGACGACAGGGCGATGCGGGCTGAGGGGAGCGGAGTCCAGGGGACACCACAGAGCACACAGAGGGGGCTGGGGCTCAACTGAGGAGCAGGAATCACCCAGCTAAGTACACAGCTGTCAGGACTAGGACAAGGGGACTGCACAGGGGACACCACACACAGGCAGTGAACCCAGGAGAGTCGGTGCGGTGTCCCCGCTACCGTGTGTGTGCACACAGTGTGCAGGAGGCACCTCCAGGGACAAAGGGCACTGTGACCCTGCACAGGCCAGTGCGCTAGTGAAGAGAGGGGCGGCAGGACTGGCCCTGCCACGGGCAGCCGACCCGCACGTCCTCCTCGGACCCTACTCTGAGGGACCAGGTGGCTAAGCGCAGAGGATGAAGGGAGGGGCTGCCGTCGGCCACCCATGACAACATGCCACCCCCAGCCTCCTCTCCAGACAGGCCTCTGACCCCTTTCAACCCAGCGGGAAACTGAGGACAGAGAGGTGGACCCAGCACCCCAGTGAGGAGGTCCCCAGTGCTGGCCCCAGCGTCCCCCAGCTCCGGGGCTCCCACACCGAAGGCCCAGAGGCTTCCCCCGCCGTGTGTGATGGGGAGGGGGCAGGAGCCAGGTGGAGCGGAGGGAGCCTGCCCCAGGCTGTGACCCTGGACCAAGGGAGGGCATAGGGTCTCCCGGAACTAGCCGAGATCCCCGGTGGCACCCTGCAGCCTTGCCTGCCAGGCCCACCTGCCCACCCCAGGCCCCCTCAGGCTGCGCAGCCCCCACCCCACCCTCCTGAGGCCACAGGCTGGGCCAACCTGCCCGCACCCTCCAGCCCTGGTCCCCCCGGGGTGGGGACTCACGTAGTCCTGGAAGGCCTTGGCCTCGCTGGAGTGCTCACAAGCCTCTCTGCGGTCAGGCGCCGCACAGTACAGGTCCCAGAACACGCTGTGGGTGGCAGGGGACGAGAGTTGCTCCACGGCCCACCCCTGCCCAACCCCCGCCGCCGCCACGGCCGCCGGCACAGCCCTGCACGCACCACCACCAGGAGTGCAGGAACCCGGGGGGCTCCCCCAGCGTGATGTTCTTCTCCCATCGGATCTGCGGGGAGAGGGAAGGATGTGAGGCGGCCGCCGCCTGAGCCCCTCCGCACCACCCAGCACGGCGCCCCAAGAACACGGGGACAGGGAGGGAGCCCTGGGAGACAGGAGGGTGGCCTGGCGAGCAGAGGGCTCCAGGCGTGTGCGGCAGATCCTAGCAGACAGATGCCTGGACGCCAGCCCATGGGCCCCGACCCGTCCCAGCCCTCAGTTCTCAGGGCCGGCAGAGGGTCAACCCCGACCCACCACCTGGAACCCCCGCGGGAATAGGATGGAGGACCTTGGCGTGTGCAGGTGGGGCTGCTTACCTCGGACAGGAAAGTCTGGGCTGACTTCTGGGCGCCGACGTGCAGCAGGTACTCGTACACGTACAGCGCCAGCCTGCAGGGGACGAGGCGAGCCGGAGGCTCAGGCTCTCCACGGGCCCAGGGCCAGTCCTAAAGCCCCTCCCTGGCTCTCAGATGTGCAAGTGCAGTTGACAAGGAGGATATGGCCTCCCCACCAGCTGCTCAGCCTGGACAACTCCTGCTCATACATCAATACCGAGCCTGCAGGCCCCTCCCAGGTACCCCTGACCCCCAAAACTCTAAGCCAAATTCTGCTCAATTCAACACTGCCTTTGGGCACCAAGTCCCGGCCCCACCCTGCCAATGGTGACACCCCAGAGTGGCCTCAGCCCCAGGAAGGTCTGCTGCCCAGAGATAGGGTGTCACCCCGATGGTGCATCAGATGGGGACTCCCACAGTGCCTCAGGCCCCCCACCTAACTCGTCCCCAGCCTTGCCTGCCAAGGAAGGAGGGAAGGGGCCCCTCCCTCCCAACCCCCCACTCTCTGGCGTCCCTGGGCCCCACCCTCTTCCTTGGGATTGGTGCCCATCCACCAGTGGTGGCCACACAGCTCTGGCAGACTCCCCCCAGCAGGGCAGTGCTAACCCCAGGAGGAGTCCGGGGAATGGAGGTGGGTAGGTGAGGGGAGGTTGGGCCAGTGGTGCCACACATCTGCCATGGCACCACCCTGCCCACAATGCCCTGTGAGTCCCCAGCCTGCCCAGGACCTCTGGACTTGCCTCCCCAGCAACTGCCCACCCCAAGAGCACAGGCTGAACCACCCACCCCGCTCCAGTCCACCTGCCACACCAGGTGGCAGAGGGACAACCCCCCCCACTCCCAGGGTCACCTAATCCCCTGGTACCAGCCCCTCCCAAATCCCTGGATCTGAGCCTCACCCTCTGGGTGCCCCAGGGTCCTCCTACTGCCCAGCCAGGCCCCAGGCAGGCTGTGGGGGTGTAAGGTGGTCCTGGACCCGAGACTCAGGGCTCCCCAAGGGCTGAGGGCTCCCCGAGGACCGGCCTGAGGCTGAGCCCCCGTGGAGGAGGAGGCAGGAGGCCTGGAGGCCCTTGCACACGCCTGCGGCTCAGCTGTCCGCGGCCCGCCCCAACCCTGCTGTGCCACTCTCCCCTGGCTGAGTCCCTGGGCTGCCAGCCCCATCCCAAAATAACCTTCCTTTGACTCACGCGCGCTCCCTCCCAGCTGGGCTTCTCTGCGCTGCAGCCTCGCATCCCAGCGCCCCCCACCCACACACCCCAGCTTCCCGGCAGACTCCAGCCCCCCCGCCCTTGCCCTGGTAGTGGACACAACCGACCCCTGTCCTGGAGGCCACGTTCTCCTGGGGAGAGGCAACATGGCTGAGAAGGCGAGTCACATGCTGTGCGGGGCTGGCAGGTGCCGAGACCCTGCAAAGGTAAGCGGGCGCTGGGAGGGGCAGGGCGGGGTAGGACACACAGCTCCCAGCGTGCGCTCAGCCCCCAAGACGGGCCTCGGTCACCACCCCATCACCGCTCTCGGGCGCACCCCCGGCCCAGGGCCCTCCAGTTCTGACTCCCCCCGCCTTCCAGGCTGCAGTGTCCACCCTCCTCTGCCTGCCACTTCCTTGGCCCCTCAGCCTCCAGGACCAGCTGTCCAGCTCCCTTCTGTGACCCCCTTCCCTTTCCAGAGGCCTCCTGAGCTCACCAGTGGCCAGTGGCCAATGGGCCCCATGTCCGTCAGTGGAGGATGAGCACAAAAGGCCAGCACCAGAGCCCCACCCTCCGGACCCCAGGAGAGAGGCTGAGGGGCCAGCCAGTCCTCACTTTGGGGTCAGAGAAGTGGAAGCAAAAGCTGGGGGGCTGAGACGCCCAGAGACAGGGAGCAAGACGGAGTCCGGGGAACCTGGGGGGGTGCCCCAGCAGGGAGGGGCAGCATGAGGGTGCCAGGTCCTGCTGTGCCTGCATTCTGACCAACCCCCTCCAGGGATCAGGTGTGACTCCCAAAGGAAGGGATTCACCAAGGAGCACACCCCCACCTGCGGTCCTCCTCCATCCGCCTCTGCTCTCCCGCTGGGCGGCCCCTCCTGCTCTGATAGTATCTTCAGGAAGCTGCTGCCCACAGGGTGCTTGGTCCGGCCTCCCCACCCCTGAACTCAGTGTCCACTGCCCACCTGACATCACAGGCCCAGCCTCGGCACGCCCACACCCCTGCCCCATTCTCCCCCCCCGCCGGCTGCGGCCCTGACTCCTGTCCTCTCACCTCAGCCAGATGCCATCAGCTCAGCCTTTAATGCACACATCCCACCCCGAGGACCCCCGGTGGCACTCACAGAGCGTGCGCCTATGAGGATCCACCCCGCTGCACCCCAACATTGCTTCACTCACTGAACTGAAAAAAACCACTTAAGATCTCGATCCTGACTCACACCCCTCTCCCCACCCCCACCACACACCTCGTCCAGGTCACTGCCATCTCCCACCCGGACTAGGCAGGGCCCCTCCGGGGGCTGCAACTACCTGGCTGCTACTGTCTGCACCTCCAGCTGGCCGCCCACCCACCCCGGGGCCTTTGCACACACTGTCCCCTGCCTAGGGCACTTCCCCCAGACACCAGTGCAGCTCCAGTGTCACCTGTCGGAGGCATCCCTGTCACATCTAAGCCCCCACCTGCTCCATTTCCCCACCAGCCTCTCATGGCCATGACATGCCTGTGCTTAGGGCAGAGCCTGGGCGTCCTGGGCCCCCTCAGGCTGCCACCTGGACTGAGCGAGGTGGTGGCCTAGCGCTAATAAAGACCGGTGCTCCTCACGCCGACATTAGGGCCTCCAGGAATCTACCCTAAGAGCCAGGGCAAGATTTTCAGTGTTGCTCATTTCCCTCACAAGCTGCTGCTTTGACTTTCAACAGGCCAGAGTCTCAGGGAAGAATTGTGAGTTGTTTTTTGTTTTCGGTGAGAAGTTTTGAAGCCTGGACGTTTGGCCAGGGAATCTGGAACCCACAGGGCCCTCCCCTTCACAGAGGGCAGGTGGCCAGAAAGGGACGTAGGGAGGCCTCAGGGTGGCCCGGGAAAGAGCAGCACACAGCCCTCCCTCTAGAAGGAACGGGCAACCTGGAGGATACGGGGCGCCTGGACCCAGAGTGCGTCCGGGGCAGTGGAGGCGTAATGCGGCGTTAGTGCCGCCGCCACCACCGTAATTGAGAAAGACCGTAACGGGTGCTCTCCGCCCCGCACCCCTCCTGGACACCCATGCTGCTGGGGGCCAGGAGACGCCCTCTACTCATGGCCTTGGGTCACCATCTCATCTGTCACCAGGCCCCACTGCTGCCCCACGGCGACCCTCCAAACCACGCAATCCTCCCTCCCCTCTGCCAACCCGAGACTGGCCTTCAGCAATCTCTTGCCAAAGTGGTGGCCCCTCCCCATTTGCTCCCCTCACCACCCTTGTCCCCCAGCAGCCAGAGTGAGAACCCCCCAATCCTGAATCCCACCCCAGCCTTCTCTGGCCTTCCTCTGTGGCTCCAGTTCCCTCCTCAAATTCAAGGACTCTTCTGGGGCTGGCTCCTCAAGAACCTCCTGCCTGCTGGGCTGAAGTACCTGAGTCTGTGTGCCCGTCTCAAAGCCACACCTGGGAGAAAAACACAAGATGCCCAGTGACACTAACCTACTTGGCAGGTGCTCAAGGATACACTTAAGTGCTCAAGGATATACACACACGCCCTTCTTGCATGTGGCCCACTCAGACCCCAGCCTCCCTTGGGCCTGCCCATGTGCTGGGAGCACCCGAGGGCAGACACCCAGCAGGCGCTCGGTCCTTTTTGGAGCAGCTGGCCTAGACCTAGCCTGAAACAGAGAGGCCTGTAAGCTCCAAGGGGAGCCAGAGGGGGCTCAGGACTGGGGCCAGAGAGAGAAGGAAAGGAAGGGCCTCATTTTTAGGAGGCAGGAGCCTCAGAGCAGGGGGGAAACATAGTGCCGGAGAGTGAGGACCGAAGCAGTGTAACCCCTTCACCCCATTTCACAGAGGAGGAAACGGAGGCCCAGAGACAGGAAGTGACTCGCCAGTGGTTATTTCCTGAAAGCTGAGTGGCTGCCGGGGTAGCTGCTCTACCTGTGGCCTCCCACGCAGCCCACGTGAGAATCCCCAAAGGCAGGTCATCCACATTTCGGATGAGGACACTGAGGCTCAGGGCCACCAGCCTGCCTCTCCAGCGCGGCAGCCCCCACATCTCTGAAAGCTCTCCCGCACCAAGACACGGAGCCCTTGGCAGGTCGCTTCCTCTCCAGGGCTGAGGTGCTCCCTTCAGTGAAATGGGGACGCAACCATCTGGTGTTTCCCACGCTTTCTTCAGCAGCAGAACCATCTCCAAACCCATGTGTACACGGGCCCTTCTGTGGAACACAAGGGCGCAGGACAGCTCTGGGCAGAGATGGGACCCTCAGCCTCTGCACCGGGAGCCGAGGTGCTGCTGAGGATCTTGTGTCCTGAGACTAGTGTCCTCCAAGCACCTCTGCTGGGCAGGCTAGGGAGTGAGGGGATATGGGGGAAGGGGGCCAGAAATGCAGATAACCCCGTCTTCCAGCCCTGACCAAGTGCAGAGGCCAGGTTCAAAGAACCAACATCTCTCCTGGGATGTCTGCTAGGGTCAAGAAACCAACTCCAAACCCCATCACCCTGGGCTCAAACCTTTTATTCCTTCTCTTATCTCCATGGCTACGCCCTTAGTCCAGGCTGCCATTAGATATCTCCCAGACAACTGTGCCCGACTCCCCCCAGCCACTCCTGTTCTCTATTCCTGACCCCGTATAAGCCCCACTCTGTATAGGAGCTGAAGTGCACACACAGCGCCCAGTGGGCTGCCCCTTCCTTCGCCCTAGCTCCTTTGCCTGGCCCCACCTCAGGGCCTTTGTACATGCTGTGCCCTCTGCCCCTGACATCCCCCTCGCTCTTCACTAGCACCCACTTTGCTTTCTTCACAGCACATCTCAAGCCCTGTGATGGGCCCAGGGGTAACCAGATCCCCGACTCCTGCTAGGTAGGCTTCTTCAGGGCCCAGGCATGCCTGCCTGCCCAGCCACCACACTCTGGGACCCACCCATCACAGATGTGCCAAACAAGTGAACATTCCCACTGGGTGGGTGGTCACCTCCAGACTCAACAGCTGGCTGGAGACACAGACAGGACAGGCAAGGGATGGGGTGACTATGCCAGACACCCTCTGCTTCCAACCTGGGCAGGAACCAGATGCCAGGTTTTTGGTTTTGAGACGGAGTCTAGCTCTGTTGCCCAGGCTAGACTGCAGTGGCGTCGGCCTAGCTCACTGCAACCTCAAACTCCTGGGCTCAAGCGATCCTTCTGCCTTGGCCTCCCGAGTAGCTGGGACTACAAGTACCAACCACTGTACCTGGCTAATTTTTCAGTTTCGAAAAGTGTTTGCACTAAAGGGTACTTGGAATTGGAGTCCAACTTCCTAACTGTGTAAACAGACAAGGGAGGCCTAAAGAGGCAGTCATTTGCCTACCACCTTCTGGCCGGAAGAGCCTCTTCTCCAAAATGACCCAGAGGCTGGGCAGAGAAGGGTCGCTCATCTTTGTGAAGGGGAGGGGAAATCCCAATGTCAGACCAGGCAGAAAAGGTAGGACGGGGGACAGAGTCAGCCAACATCCAGGGCTCCCCTTCACTACCCAGATGCTCGAGTCCTTGATTCTGGCCTGGCCCTCAGGACCTGTCCTCCTGGGAGCCCAGTGTCCTCTCTGCTCGGTAGCCCGTTGGCTCACCCGCTGGGATTCTGCAAGTCGGCTGTCAGCCGTAGCAAGCCCTTCTCCCTGGCACTTTAACAATACTGCAAAACCATCAGCTGCCCTTGCTGTGGCACAGTCAAGGCTCCAAGCACCTTTCAAATGCTCCCCAGTCCGAGAGATGGCACTGTTACCACATCTACATTTCTCAGGAAAATGAGCCCAGGAGAGGGTGGTCCCTCGCCCGAAGCCACAGCGCCAGCAAGCAAGCAGCAGCTCGGCTTCAGAGACCCCAACGGCCACGATCCTGCCTTCACCCCCACCACGGTCTAGGGAGTTAGGGACCTGCCCCGAGACCGCCCGCACCGCAGCCCAGAGCCGGAACAAGAGGGGCCCCAAGACGCCGCCCACCCCGGGGCTGTGAACTGTGCCGCCTCCCTGGGAGCCCCACGCAGCTGCCCCGGCCCGGGCAGACAGGTGGCCGCACGCCCCTCCGGGCCTCCCCGCCCCTCTCCAGATCCTTCCGAGGCGCCCGGGTCCCCGAGCGGCCAGTCTCGCCCGCTCCGGAAACTTCCGCGGAGGCTGCGAGGAGAAGCGCCGCTGACCTCGAACGCCCGCGTCCGCCGCCTAGTGCACCCAAGTCTCGCCCCTTAGGGAGCTCTCGCGACCCTCGAGTCCCGCTCGGATCTCGCGCGCCCCCTCAAATCTCGCGCCCCTCGAGTCTCGCGCGCCCCCGCAAATCTCGCGACCCCTCAAACCGCTCGGGGGGTCTCACACGCCTCGAGTCTCGCATGCCCCTCGGGTCTCCCGCGCCCCCTCAACTCTCGCGGCCCCTCGGGTGTCGGCGCCCCCTCAAAGCTCGCGAGCCCTTCACGCCAACTTGGGTCTCCAGCGCCCCCGCAAATCCTCTGCCCCTCGGGTCTCGCGCGCCCCCGCAAATCTCGCGACCCCTCGAGCGCGCTCGGGTCCCGCACGCCCCGCCGCCCGCGCCGGAGCCCACGGAAGCGGCGCGGACTCCGCGCCCCGGCCCCGGTCCCAGCCCGCCGACTCACTTCTCGCGGGCCTGGCTGTCGGAGGGCACGGCCGAGCCCTTGCCCCCCTTGGCGTACATACTGCTCCGCGCCGCCGCCGCCGCAGCCGCCGCCGGGGCCCACACCTGTCAGGCGGCGCCGCGGGCCGCGCTCGCCGTCGCCATAGCTACCCCCCGCCCCGGGCCTCACCGCCCCGAGCCCCGGGCGGGCACCGCGGGCATCGTCCGCGCGGGGGAGCTCCAGACGGCAGCGGCGGCTCCAGCTTCGGCTCCGGCCGCGGGTTTTATTTTTTTCCTCTCTTCCCTCAGCGCGGGCTGTTCCGGGAAGCGCGCGCCCCCTCCTCCCGCCGCGCGCGCCCCCGCCCGCCGCCTTCCCGCCGCCTGCGGGCGCCGCTCTTAAAGGGGCGATGGCAGGCGCGCGGTGGGTCCCGCCGCCGGGATTGCGGCCGGGCGCGCACGCGCAGTGCCCACCGCGGGGGGTGGGGGTGAGGCTCCGCCAACCCGGGCCTCGGAGGGGAACGGCCATGGGGGCACACAGCTGATCACAGTCACACGCACACCCCAAGCAGGACTAGTCGCCCAGATTGCCGTACGCCCGGGGACACAGCCACAGTCCTAGTCGCGGCAACTCTCGGACACAGCTCTTAACACGACAAAAATCCGCGCAGCTGCCGGACAACTACTGACAGCCCCATAGAGCTTCAGGCAGTCACCTGGGTGCATCACCCCGCAGAGCCACTGACGCCCACTCGGGTGGGGACCGCCACACCCCAGCTCGCCCAGCGCGACACACACACAGCTCATACAGTGGCTGTCACAAAACAACTAAACGCAGGCTACCGCACACGTCGTGGGCACACAGGTGCATAGAGATACGCTTCCGCAAGGCCGTGCCATAGCTTCTAACAGCGGCGAAGAGTCCACGGACTCGCGGTCACCCCGGGGCACAGGCCCCGGGGTCTCACGGAACTGCACCCGACTCAGCTCCACGGTCCCAAGGCCTGTGCACGCCCAGCAAACCACTCGCAGCCACGCATATGAAGGGCTGTCCAAGTCCTGGGAACCACCCTGCACCGACCCACCTAACCCCTGGGCGACCGCAGGCGCCGCGGCTCAGCCTTGGTGTTGCCCCTGTAAAGAGGGCGCATCCCACTTCTAATTGCCACTGCGGAGGCTGGGGCGCGAGCAGCGGGTGCCCCGTTCCCCTTCCCAAAGGGTGTGCGGAGGAGCTGAGGGCGGACACTGAGGCAGGAGGAGTGGAGACCTGTGTCCAGGGGACCTGTGGGCCGTGCGCCTGGGCGGGGTGGAGATCCAGCTGTGACTCTGGGTCTGGGTGTTTCTGACTGTGACATGTTTGCTACGGGTATTCTTTTTCTCTCCTACACAAGCCCGCGAGGGTGTGTGTGTAAACATGCGGTTTCCTTGTGAATGCACGTGGACGTCATCGTGCGTGGGGGGTTGGCAGGCACCCAACGAACGGGAGCTGTCGGGGCAACTGTCCCTGGCTCCGCGGTGGCAGTAGTGCGTCCGCAGCAGTCGTGCGGGGCCGAGTGGCCCAGAATCGGGGTGTGTGCACAAGCGTGTGCGAGTGCGCGCGTGGGTGTACCGCCCGCTCTCCGGGACGCGCGTTGTGTAGCTGTGCGCTCACGTGTCCTGTGTCGTGCGTGTGTGAGTCTCGATTTCTCCTGCTGCAGGCCGACCCCCCAGTACCGGACAACACCCCCACCCCCACCCCCAGCCGTCTGGCGGGCGGGAAGTCGGGAGCCGCGGGGATTCCAGACCCGCGAAGAGGAAGGGAGGGGTAGGGCAGGCCCCAGCCCCGCCTCCTCCCTGAGGGGCCCCGGCGAGGGAGGGGGACGCCAGCCCTTCCCACTTCCTGTCCAGCCAGCTGCCCCCTCCCCCAGCTTCCTCTCCAGCGGGCCTCTGGGCCCCGGCCAGGGGAAGGAGAGGCGGGCGCTGCGCGCTAATGGGGCTGTCCGCTCGATGTCGCCGAGCCGCCGGCTGCGGACTGCCAGGTGCCTGCAGGGCCACCGTGGGGCTTGGGCTTCGGCGTCAGGGACATCCCTCATACTAATTACCGCTCCCACCACTGCTCTCCAGCGTCTACTCCCAGCAAGGCACAGAGAGGGTGCGGCTCACCCAAGTCACACAGCGCGTTGGTGACACCCCTCCGGCCACCCCCCCATTTGTCTCCCAAAGCTCCCCCGTATCCTGTGTGCCCCGGGCAGGTCCCTCGCCCTCTCTGTGCCGCGGTTCCTGTAGTCAGTGTGGGTCTTCGCCTGCAGATACATTTATCGAGCGCCTGCTGTGTGCCCGGTTTGGGGGACCCAGCCGGGGCACGTGGCTACCTCTCAGTGGAGCAGAGGGTCTAATGGGGAAGGCAGACAGTCAAAAGCTGGCGAGTCAGTTGGGTAGTTTCAGGGAGTGCCACGTGCTGGGCAGAGGGAGGGGCCCGGGTGAACAGGACCGGCTACGCGACGCCGGCCGGGCTCCCGGAGGAGGGCGGAGGCGCCCGCGGCCCTGCTGGCTGCGGTGGGGGAGGCGCGGCGGGCGGCAGCGACAAGCTTGGTTCTCATGGCAACCGGGAAGGCTCTCCAAACACAGCCTGGGCGCCGGCGGGAAAGTCGCGGCTCAGAGGGCTTTGGGGCCCACGCAGCGTCGGGAAGCGGAGCTGCACGCATACCCAGCCAGGGCGCGCGCCTTGCGGGGGCAGAGCCCACAGTCAGGGCCCCCCACCCATGCGAGGGCAGGACATGGCGAGGCGGGAACGTGTTTTCATAAGGGAGAGGGGCGGACCTGAAAGATCTGGAAGCAAAGTGTTAAGACTGCAGTCACAGCCAGTGCAAAGGCCCTGAGGTGGGCGCACAGTTAAGGTGTTGGAGGCAGGTGTGGCTGGAGCGGGTGTAAGAGGAGGGAGATGATGGCCGGGAGCACAGAGGAGCCTGACTGCGCCAGGCGGGGAGGAGTTGAGATTTGTTCTAAGAGCAATAGGAAGCGATGGGAGGGTGTGGAGCCCCGAGGGGCAGCATCTGCAGCAGGATTTTAAGAAGCTCCCTGGGGCTGCGGTGGAATAGAGGAGGCAGAGATTGCCCCGGGAAGGGACCCAGGTAGACAGGGGTCCTGGGCAGGACAGGTCTGGGAATGGATTTAGGGACCAAGGCAGTACAGGCCGCCAGTGGGTCAAGCCAGCATCCCAGCCCTGCCTCCCGTTCGCCGGCTCCCGGCAGCGTACCCCGTGTGGCTGCGCGGACTTCAGCCCTTGACTGGGTCTCTGCCTCTCAGAGTGGGTGGTGGGGAGCCACCCACCACCGGCGTCCCACAAGCATGGGTGGAGGGCAGCGCCTGCGGGAGCCCGAAGGAGGCTCTGCTTATGGGACACGGGGCTGCCGGAGAAGGGGCTTTCACTCCCCTGCGGCCATGCACTCCTCAGGCCCACCCTACACAGTCCCACCTCCCGGCCTCTCCTGTCGCCAGAGCTGGGACGCTCTTTTCTCTGGCTCCTGGCCTCCTCCTCTGGCTCCTCCCGCCAACGGTTGCTCCTCCTCCTCCCCCCTTCTCTCCCTTCTCTTCTTCCTCTCCCCCCTCCTCTGCTTCTCCTCCCCCTCCTCCTCCTCCTCTTCTTCCTCCCAGCCTTCACTGGGCTCTTCCTCCAGATTACAGTCTCAGCACTGGTCTCCTTTGGACTTGTCACTGTTATAAAATAAAATAATGCATCTCGTCCTCAGCTGGCAGCCTCCTCCTCCCTCCGGATCTGGTCTCCGTGAGGACACCGTGGTGGGGGAGGGGGGCCGCAGCCCCTCAGCAGCCGTGGGGGCAGGCGCAGCTGGGAGCACAGGCTGCGCTATGAGACCGTTTCCTCCCAGAAGCTGTAATTATGGGTAATTTTCTAAATGCAACACAAAAATTAAAACCCAAACAACACCAGGATGGGAGCAGCCACAGCAGCTGGTGGAGGGTCTTTGAGACAGCCTCACTCCTTGGAGTCTGGGGTTTCCAAAATGGGGGATTAAGCCCCAAGATCAAGACCGGGTGCCTGGGGGCCTTCTGCAGGGAGGATCTGGGCCTGGGTTGAGTTTTTTGTTTTTGTTTTTAAGCCACAGGCTGGTGGGCTTGGGTTTGAACCCTGGCTGTCCCGTGTCCTGCTGTGTGGCCTTGATAGGGAGCCAGCTGAACTTCAGTGACCTCTGTGAGCCTTGGGGTCATGGGCTTCAAGGGATTCCAGGCAAGAGAAGGGACACAGGAGAACTTGGTCAGTGAGTTCCAGCTAAACCTGCCACCTCCCGCCCCCACGTCCATCCGCCGCAATGCTTAACCCAAGCCGGGTGCACCGCTCTGCTACTAGCGCCTTCTGTGGCTCTCGCTGCCAGCAAATGGAATCCTCTGCCCTGCACTGGAACTCCAGCTGCCAGCAAATGGAATCCTCTGCCCTGCACTGGAACTCCAGAGACAAGCCAATCACTGGGACTTTGTGCATCCTGTAACACCCTCTCAGCCGCCCCCTGAGGGAGGCAGCGTTTCTTCTCCCCATGTTACAGATGGGGAAACCGAGGCTTGGAAAGGCACCAAGGGAGGGAGTCACACGAGCCACCCAGAGGCAGCACCACACCTGCTGGCATCCCTTCAGCTCCCTGTCTGAGTTTGAGATACTCATTCTAAAAAACTAGGCATTTTGTAGAAGTTTCAGGCCTGGGGGGAGGGACAGCTGCTGGTCACAACCCTGCCCCCCCACCCCCCGCGTCCCCCACAGGCCAACCTGAGCTGTACGATGAGGCTGGACTCCCCACTGCGGGCGCTGCTTCTCCTCACCTGTATCCTTCCCTGGCCTCGGGAACACCCCTTCTGGATGTGCCAGTCTCTCTAAGGTCCCTAAGGCAGCCCTGAGCCTGTGCTGCCCACCACCTTGCCCGCTCGCTGGCGTCCCCAGCGGGACACCTTCCCCAGCTCCCCCTGGGACTTCCTGGGGTGACCTCCTGGATACCCACCATGTGCCCTGCAGTCTCAGTGTGCAACTCTGAGTCTTTTCTGGGAAATTGCACTGAGGCTGGGGATCGATAAACACCCCAGCCCCCTCACCCTGAGTGGGACCACTCAGGTGAGCATCTCCACTGTCCCCCAGTGGTCCCAAGCAGGTCTGAGTGCCACTCGCCCGCAGCATCACCTACCTGTCAGTGGTTGGTGCCCCTTTCAGGGCTCCTTCCCTGTTCTGGAGTCACTTCCCAGATACCCCCCACCCCAACTGACCCCAA